CTTTACAGCTTCCTCGAACAGCTTATCAAACTTTTCAACTGAAGAAACTGGCAATGAGTACAAATATCGTCTTGTTATCTCGCTAGAAACGCCTGACATAAAAGCAGCGCATAGCTGATCATCGACAAAAGTATCGGGAAAATCGCATTTTACGCACTGGTTTCTAAGCTCATTAGAAAACTCAAGCAGCGACTGCCCCGACTTCTGTTTTATGCTGAAAAAGGTCGCCCTTTCTACTCGTATGTTTGTACGCTTGCTATACGCAATCTTCAACTTATCGTACAATTCTGCAAACGTATACGCACCGGGCTCCTTCGGGCGACACATTGAAGCCAGCATCTTCATCGCTTTGGGGTTCAGTGATCCCAGCAGGAGTGGCTTCTTCTTATCGTCGGCCATGGCGTACGACTACATGTGGCTGTCGAACTGGATTCGCCATGTCTCCAGTCGCAGGACCTCTGGGTCAAACCTGGCCAACTTCGGCAGACCGGTGGCATCGCCGTCATCAACGGGAGCGGAGACGCTTGTCATGGTCTGCGTTGTAGTCGTCCCGACAGGGGTGGTGCTGGTATTGGGCGACGTTCCCGTAGTACTCATTTTTAATTATTTATTATTGAAATCTCATCCTTCACGCCATTGTGAAGTACTTGCCATAAAGTAATATTTTTATTACTTTTCATATGAGTACAACTGATGATCTTCTAGTGACAAACAACATCTTGTAATATCGGTTGCTAAGTGTACGTACACGTATAGTACAACTAAATAGCCATTTTAAAACGTTGTAATATTTCGTTCATCGCTTGTTTAGTGGAAAATATAAAGCAGGTTGTCTTGCTTGCTGCTTCGCGAGCTCCGCTCGCGCCACAGCTCGGCGTCGCCTGCGGCTCCGCCTTCCATGAAAAACTGACGAAATTTTTTCGAGTTTCGCAAAATTTCTCGTTTTCATCAATGGAGTATTCCACCTTGGATGACGCGCCCAACGACCGTGAAGCAATCACTAATATAAAAAAGTTTGTTTGTAGCCATGTACTCGTAGGTCTGCTGCAGTTAGTACACATCACCCAACTTAAGCGCATGGGGGATATGCAGCTGCCAGCTTGCGGTCCATAAACCTTAAAGTTCTATACTTGTACATGAAAATTAATGTAACACCAACACTAAACGTGCAATTCCACCTTTCTCGGACATTTATTTTTTCCACAGAAAACAAATTAACCCGCAACTTGCGGTGCGCAAGTTGCGGCTTAATTTGTTTTCTGTGGAAATTTTGTCTTCGGCGGCATATCAGTACCAATGGCAACCGCCCGTGGAAACATTGTAACTTTAAACTGGTCAAACCCTGGGAACGGCAGATCCTTGAGAAACAGTTTTGAGCACTTCCCTACTCGCAGAATTTGTTAGGTCTTCAGTCTTTCTTTCCTAAGAACTTACTTTTTCTGAAGCCATTTGTTGATAAAAAAAAAATCATAATTTCATTCAAGAACCAATACTAAGTTCTCGAGTCATAAACACGTACTATCCGTCTTCGGTCCCAGCAAAGCTGGCCAAAATGCGTTTTAGCTGTCGAGACAGTGGTGGGGTGGTCAGCTTTGCAGGGGTGGATTCTCAACTTTTCCCATTGGCTTTCTTTGTTAAAGTTTTTTGAAGTTTTCTTTTAAACGTTTGTTTTTCTCTAAAAACCGAGTTGCGATGGCAAATCTACCCACTAAGGGCTATCGAATGATACTTAGACATAGAAGTTCGATTCGGTAGATGGAGCTGACGAACTCGACAGAGTGGGGATTTCGTTGAGGCTTACGCGATTATTATATAGTGATGATTTATGTAGGTTTTCCTTGATTACCGTAAAACCCGATATTAACGCCCCCCCCCCCCGAAATTAACGCCCCGTGCGGTTTTAAACGCCCCCTCCCGAAGCTCTCGAAATAATAAAAGCCCCCCCGAAATTATCGCCCCGGGGCGCCTAATTAGTTGCGGCGGCGCGCTTTTTTAGAGCGTTGTCGTTACAGTCTAAATGGTACATCTTCTTAAGTTAGGTAAATTCCATTTAAAAACACCCGTTAAACCATGATTTTCTAGCAAATGTCTTGGTTTTTAAATATTCCTTTAGTATCCACAAATATAAATCTCGTTAAAACTTATATATCATGAGCGCGTTATTCATTTGAAATATTTGACGCCCCCCCCGTAATAAACGCCCCCTGCGGTTTTAAGCGCCCCCTCCCGAAGCTCTCGAAAAAATAAAGGCCCAGGGCGTTAATATCGGGTTTTACGGTATTCATACATGGTGAAAAGTGAAGGTTTTAAAAAAAACATTGTTTGTAAACGCAGAAAGCAGGAAAAAGCAATCTTGATCGTAAATTCTTGCGTTCGTAGAAACAGAAATTTGATTTCGAGTGCAGTCAGTGCCAGTCATAGGGTCGGGAAATGTAAATGATACACTTTAGAAACGAATAATTGCTGCACCTGCATACAACAACGCCTGGGCTTCTGCAATAACGACTTCTGTCCGCGCAGTGACCACACTGTCGGGTTCTCGCAAATCCAGTTTCAGCACCGAATTTGTTTAAAGATCCAATACATGACGCTAGGGTCGACAATCGTCGCTAACATCGGCAGTTCGATGATTACAGACGGTAACCAGCAGATGAAGGCACTCAAGGTCAGCAAAGTTAGCAGTAAAAAGGCGCTGCTTTCGGGCTTTGCGTCGGGCTTGTTTGATGGACTCGGGGGCGCGATAACTTGCCAACTATGAATTAACGATGCAGTTATTACCAAAAGGACGGATGCAGCTGAATCAAACTCTATTTTAGTTGAAAGCATCCTCAATTCTATCGATGGCCAAAGCAGACAGAATCAGTGGAATCGTTGTAGAGTTGCTTATTTGTGTACTGCGTGCCACGGCCGCTGCAAACTGACTTTAAAGTTAAACAGATGCGCATGAATATTAACAGAGCCGAATTCTCTATAAAGTGTTAAACAATGTGAGGCACAACCTTGTTTTCCAAATCAAAAGGAAAATTTAAGTAAACATCAAGCTAAAGAACATAATTGTTATAAAACTACGCTGTCTTAAGTATATTCGTAGAATACGGTATCCGAGTTAAACATTTTCAAATAATGTGTATTATCTAATTGTAACGTACTTCTACGACTGACTACTAGTAGTATCCAAATGACTTATTAAACCGGACGTAGAGTCAAAAGAAGTTGAATGTACCGTTCCCTTGCGGTCCGGAGTGCGGAATTTGCCGTAACATTCGCAAACGTTTCCGACGAATAACAAAAACCACCGGATACTGCGCCAGCACAATGCACAGCGTAATAAAGGAAACAGCTTGATAGACAACCAGCCAAGTTTGCTCAGGCAGGGCCAAGAAATTCCATTCGCAGCCATACACCGCTTCCGGTTGCCGGTACAGCAGGACATCCAACACAAGCGCGGGTACGACTAAGAAATTAGCGGCAATCCAGCCCAGCGCAGGCAGAATGATGGCGATACGGGTGGTGTGCACTGTGCCGATCGCGATACTGTACCGGAAAGATCACTGCGCAACACCGGCATACCGCTACGGTGGTGTGGATAAAGAACTGCGCAGTCTGAATGACACTCCCGGTATAAATACGGAAGGTACACAAATAAGAACCCCGGCACCACGATGCGAATAAATGATTGAGAACTTCCAGCGGTCCGAACGTCACGGCAAAGAGGAAATTGGCGCATAATAGGGTGAAAACATAGACGTGAAAATTCCGGATAAGGCGAAAGCTGGTGAGATAGAAAATCATCATCAATCCATTCAGTGCGCAAATCATGACAGACATGGCCAGGATTGTGATACTGTACGACGACCAGGTCAGTCGATTGACGGCCGCAGCACACACGTCAACGGTATCGTTGGAAGGTGAACTGTTGTTAACCGTCCTGTTCATGGTTTTAAGATATCACCTGTCACCTTTTTCCCACCGTTAGAACTTGACATCCACACTTCCGTGCTACCGCAATGAGAGTTTTCCGTGTGCGGTTTGGGATTTTATACAGAGCAAATATCTTTTTATATGTGTAGGCAATATATTAGTAAAAAGGTCAGCGATCACAATTCACAAATGTTCACCCGTTCATATGAAAATGAAATAGAGGTGCTTCGTACATAGATCCCATAAATAAACTGTAAATGTCTGTAGTTATCCAATTGCCGTTCCAACCGTAATGTCGCCGTAATTAACGAATTGGTTTAGTATTACAGGATTCTTCCCCTGTTAACTCATCTGAAATCTCGAAAACTGAACCCCGTCCCTCGTAAATTAGATCTCCTAATCTCGCAGCCGGCTTTCCCGTTAACTAAAACTCAATTTGTGTGAAATTTCCTCTAGTTCATTACGCCCTTGCGCAAGTAATTCTTAAACACGTCCGTTTCAATCACTGGGCGTCCAGTTAGCACAGATGATATTATATTTCACAGTGTCAATAAACTGGAGGAATTTGTCGTTATAAGAAATGTTTTATTGCAAAAGCCAACGTGCATACGAGGGGATGACAGAAGCGTATTTCAGTAATCCCCTGTATTGCTGCCGTCTCCCGCCTTGAGTGGGACATTACGGCAGTACATATCGCTATATCTGGCGCGGTACATAAGCACCATGTTTGGCCACATCGTCATACTACAGCCGGCTTACGGCAGCATGTACAGGGAAGTGCTGGAATGCGCTACCGTAATCTCCTCGTATACTGTCAGCGTCACCGAAAGAGATCTTTAGGTTATTCTGTACGCATGTACTCAAGCAAGATTTAAAGAGAAGCGGGGACTTTATGAATATAAATCAGTTGACTATATATTCTTAGCTGAGTATTATTACAGTGGCTAAAACCCGAAATCATTGGCATCTACGAAAAGTTTAGATGTAACATTGATGCCGAAACCGTGGAAATGAACCGTTTGCCAAACTACACCCCTTCGATTGTGTCGGCAATTAATTTCGAAATTCCTGATGGATCGTCGTGCCAGTCATGCTTCAACAAAGCCAGTTCGTCATCCGGGGCATCCAGATCACCGCACTGATCAGCTGATATGGATCTGTGGCGTCGTTAATTCCTGATCCGCGGTCATCTGCGGCCACAGGGCCGGCATCGGCACGGGCCACCAAGGAGCAAATACTGGCTGTTCCGGTATCAACCCTTGGATACTACCGCCGCGAAGCAGCTGCGCGTGTATCAAGCCGAAATAGATGCCAAAGGTCACTCAACCGACGGGACCAGCGAAACCATCAACTTGAATGCCGAGTCACTGTGTGAATAGCGCGTCGTTGGTCAACGGACAGCTCGGCATCCATCGCTGAAGAAGCACTGCCTGCAGCCGGAATAGATACGGTTAATACGACTAATGTTGGTGTGCAAGTCAGCACCGTGCCACAATACAAAGGTCATCGTAAAATGCATGATATCAACGTCAAATTCCATTATGTTAAAAAATCAAGTCCGCAAACTTGTCGGTCGTAAGCCGCGGGTACCTGGAGCGGAAGTAAAGGATCGCCCCGGATCCGCTGATGATGTCAAAGGAGTTGCGATGGTAGCGCAATCAAGACCTGCGCGTAAGATCGTGCCAGAGGTTTCTGTAGCCAATCAGAAACTGCTTATTTAAAAAAAAACAGGCAGTTTCTGATTTGCTACAGAAACCTCTAGCACTAACTTTTATTTTCTGTGTTTATGACAATATGGATAACGCAGGATACGAGTATGTGCTCGGCTGCAGCTTCCTGCGCAATCCTGGGTGGTTGGTAGACATCGTAAACGTCGTGTTAGTCTCCCTGGATCCCGATGGCAGGCGAAATGCACATAGCGCGTGTGGTGACGCGGTGGTGAGGGACGTCGACGAACGCCGACGATAGTAGCACCCTTGGTGACCAGCCCGTGCCGATGCCGACCCTGTGTGCGCAGATGACCGAGGATCAAGGATCCATGTAGACGAAACCCTGGGTTCATCAACTGATGAAGTACGGTGATCTGGATGCCCCGGATGACGGGCTGGCTGTGTTGGAGCACTAATGGCCACGCCGACCCATCTCGGATTTCCACATTGGGGATGCCGACACTGACGACGGGACGTTGTCGGGCAAACGGTTCATTTCCACGGTTCGGTACCAGTGTTACATCTACACTACACGTAGACGCCAGTAATGTCGGATTTTAGCCACTTTTATAAGACCTAGCTAAGAACTAACTAAATACCAAACAAACATAACTAAATACCAAACAAACATTAAATGATATATGATGTATATTACCATATACACATAATGCCAAAGTACCGATTCATAACCAGAATTTATTTCCAAGATCTTAGTCGGTAGAATGAATCTGTTAGGATTTCCGTTTTCATACAAGCTAGCAATTCAGCTCTGAAGCATCATCATCAAAAAGATAAGAATCATACGTGATACAATTAATAACTGTTGCATAAGCAACTGTCAACACGACCGCAGTAACGATCGTTGACGCTTACTGAAGCTACTGTACATGCGATTACTCATCACACAGCACCCCGTATCTTAAGAACTTTGGTCACCAGACAAAGTTTCAGCAACTGACAATCACAAAATAATCACAATTATCAATAACAAGTCATAAAATCAACTGTCGCAAGAGAAGCAGTAAAAACGCAAATGTTATGGTGATGAGCTGCGGATAGTGCGGTTCCGGAGGGTCCGGATAGCAGGGCGATTGTCGGTATCGGTTAACGGACCGGCTGTTGGATCAGGAATGGGACGAGATGGTGTAACAGCTGTGCGTTCAATGTCCTCTTTCAGTTCCGGATCCACGGACTCCATCGGGACGCTCCACTGCGAATCACAATCGCCATTAAGATCATCATCCGACAGTGGTTGAGTAAACAATTTCAAGCGCTTAACATGAACCGTCATGACGCGCTTTCCACGCTTGTTGCGTACTGACTCAATCTCGTAATTTAGCTTGGACACGCGGTTAATAATTCGGTATGGACCAAAATAATGTGCAATTAATTTTGGTGACAAACCAACCGGTGTCACAGGAGTGTACAGCAGTACAAGATCACCAATCCTGAACTCACGATGCTGTCTTTTCAAATTGCCAGTCAACATATAACCAGCCTGCACTTGGTCGATATTAGCCTTAGCCACCTGGCTAGCTAATCTGATTCGTTCAATCATAGTTTTACTGTATTCGTGCAAGTTGCTGATGTTATTACTCGGAAGAGCACCAAGTTGACTATCTAGTACTGAGCGACATTCGCGTCCATACAACAGATAAAATGGACTTTTGCCGGTCGACGCTTGTGTACTCGTATTATATGCACAAGTGATATACGGTAAATACAGGTCCCAATCCTTTTGGTTATCGCTTACGTATAAACTCAACATGACCGCAAGACTTTTGTTAAACTTTTCCGTTAATCCGTTACAGGCAGGGTTGTAAGCCGTTGTATTAAGATGTTTAACTTGGCACAAATCTGTAACTCCTTTCACGACCGCGGAAAGGAACGGACCACCTTGGTCTGACAACATTTTTGACGGCGCACCGTGCCGCAATATAATTTGAGAAACTAAGAAGTTTGCAACTGCACCTGCAGTTTGCGCTGTTACGGCTTTCGTTTCTACGTATTTAGTTAAGTAGTCCGTACAAACAATAACATATCTATTTCCTTTCGAAGACACAGGTAATGGACCGAAGACATCAATACCGATCATTTCAAATGCAGTTCCCACCGGGATACTTTCAATAAAACCACCAGGTTTTTCTGTATTTATTTTCCTAAACTGACAATGCTCGCAACCACGTACGTACCGACGTATGTGATCGCGCATACGTGGCCAGTAATACCGCGAACGTAATCTATTGTATGTACGCCAAAAGCCGAGATGCCCGGACGTTGATTCATCATGACATGCGTACAGAATCTGTCGCCTCAGCTGTTGAGGTACAACCAGCAACAACGCTTCCTCTCCGTCCACCAGGGCTTTGCGGTATAACACATTACCGCGAAGACAATAGCGTACAGTATCCTTGCCAGCAGCACCTGCTTTCAGCTTAGATATAACTGTACTAAGTTTGCCATCAGCTTGTTGTTCAACAGACATGTCAGCAGATGTGGTCATAGCGACTAACATGTCGAAATCTATGTCAGCGGAGTCAGCTGCTTCCACGGGGTGACGCGACAACGCATCAGCATTCTGGTGTTTTTTTCCGCTACGATATACAATCACAAAATTGTATTCTTGCAGAAAAACGGACCACCGGCTTAATCTGCCTGCTAGCTCACGACGGGACATTAACCAGCAAAGAGCACAATGATCCGTGACCACGCGGAAACATTTTCCTGATAAATATGGGCGCAACTTTTTAATAGCCCAAACAACCGCTAAGCACTCTTGTTCGGTGACTGAGTACCGAGTCTCCGCAGGGTTAAAGTTTTTGCTTACATAAGCAAGAACACGCTCACCGATGTCAGTTTTCGACACTAGACACGCGCCAATACCAAGCGCACTAGCATCCGTGTGCAATTCTAACTCAGCTGCTGGGTCGAAGTGAGTCAGCACAGGCGAACTGATGAGTGCCGATTTCAACGCTTCAAAACTAGCGCACTGTTCAGTAGACCACACAAATTGCTCGCTTTTACGTGTGAGGCGCACCAGCGGCTCGGACATAGCGGCGAAATCTTTAACGAACCGACGGAAGTAAGAGCACAAGCCCAGAAAAGACTTTATGTCGGTTACGTTTTTTGGCTCGGGATAGTCAACAATGGCACTTAATTTCTCCGGGTCAGGACTAATACCATTATAGTCAATTATATGCCCGAGATATTTTGTATGATCTGTAGCAAATGTACATTTCGACGGTTTAAGTACAACACCAGCTGCCTGTAACCGCGACAGTACTAAATCGAGATGCAATAAATGTTCTTCAAAACTTTTTGAATATATTAGCACATCATCAATGTAGACAATTACAAATTGCCAACGGAACTCACTGAGGATACGGTCCATAGACCGCTGAAAGGTGGCACCTGCATTGCAGAGACCGAAAGGCATCCGGTTGAACTGGTACAACCCGTCAGGGGTTACAAACGCCGTCTTTTCTTGGTCAGATTCCGACACCGGAATCTGCCAATAACCCCAAGCCATATCTAAACTAGAAAAATGCGTTGACCCACCTAACCGATCCAAGGCATCGTCCAGACGCGGCATCGGGTAAACGTCCTTCTTCGTAATTGCGTTCAAGCGACGGTAATCTACGCAGAAACGGTGGTGCCATCGCGCTTGTGCACCAGCACAACCGGCGAAGCCCACGGGCTAGAAGACGGACAGACAATTCCTTGACGCAGCATCTTGTCAACTTCAGTACGAATAACTATTCGTTCGGCCCAAGAGCGTCGATACGGCGGCTGTGACATCGGGCCAGCAGTGCCTGTGTCAATATGGTGAGCGACACCAGTCACTTCACCGATTGGGCGCTCGGGCGTTGGAAACACTTTCCAGTGTTTGCGCAGTAATGCACGAAGTTGCTCGTTTTGTTTTGGAGTCACCTGACTGCCAACATTTAATTGTGGTAACGGGTGCTCGTCAACAACACGATCGGTCGCCAAACACGGTTCAGATTCCTCAACGAAAACCGGCTGGGCACACGCAACGACTTCGTTATTAACTAGTTTCTTTTTAGTTCGTGAGAAATTGGCACAACTTAAGTAACAACAATTGTTTACAATTTTTATTAAGGAATGCGACGTTCGCAGACCCTTTTGTGCAAATAGTTTAGCGTTTGGACTAGTTATGAATTCCATATTTTCTGAAGTAACACGACCAGGAAACTTGTTACGCTTAAGTTTGCATTTGACCCAAGCGACATGCCCGGCTGGTATGTTAACACGTTCGCACACCACGACATCCCGTGCCGACCACGGCAGGAATTTCTCACCAGCACCGTCGCTGAAGCGACGTACACTACGTGTTGCATAATCGATAACCAAATCGGTTTGCATAAGAAAATCGTTACCAACAAGTAAGTCACGGTCATATGTATCAAGTACTAAAACATTTATACGTATTGTACAACTAGCAATCGAAATTTCGACCGAGGTAATGCCAGCCGGCTCAGTTAGTTTACCTGAAATTCCTTTAATCAAACGGCCACTATAGCGTTCCACAAACACATTTAACGAGCGCGCACAGCGCAAGCTCATTATAGTGACAGCTGAACCAGAATCTATAATAGCATCCACCGGGACACCATTGACGTACGCACTAGCTGTAATAGGATATGACTGCAACTCTTCATCGTTATTCTCTGTGATTGGATAAACAGCAAGAGGAGACAACTCACTCTTATCGGGAGGATCAGTACGAGTAGCCACGCCCCGAATCGGTGCCACTCCATCTAGTTTAAATTACGGTGCTCACCTCGCGCGTTTCCGCGGGACTGCAGCTCCTCATGGCACGTCGCTTGTCAAAGCACCGACCCTCAAGATGTCCTTCGCGTTTGCAGAAGGTACAAAACCGTTTGCCATCCTCAGTCGTTTCTGCCGGGATTTCACGTGATGTGGTTGGTGCGGACGCACTTGTTGTAGTAGAAGCCGGTCCGCCTCTGCCACCGCGGCCACGCCCACGTCCACGATTTCCACTAAAACGACCACGGAATGTGTTGCTGCCGCCGCCGCGCACATACGTCTGAGTCAGCACAGGAACAGCGGTATTATCGCGCGCCACCTCCATCGCCTTTTCAACAGCCTCACGGACGGCGTTGTCCAGTTCCGACTGCGAATACGTTTTCGAACAAGCCGTTGAGGCACCGACCTCGTCAGCTGGGATGACCTCATCCCCTTTCCTCTTAGGTGACGAACATGATGCCGAAGTGGCGGCTAAAACGTTATGCACACCAGCATCAGATTTACCGCTTTCAAACTTTAAAATCTTCAACTTTGCCAAAATTTCTTCAGGTGTTTTTGGATCTAACAGCGCGACATGATTACGCAGCTGAACACCTAATCCGTTAAGCAGATAATGAACCTTCATATCTGCAGCCATATTTTCATCCACTTTACGACACAAAGCGATAATAGCGTAATAGTACTCAACCAGAGTCTCGCTGTCTTGCTTAAACTTCCTGTTCTGGAGTTTGTTCTGAGTTTCCCACTTTTCATCTTTACTCACAAACTCGTTCAGAAATGCTGTCTTCAATGCGGCCCAGTTAGTGAACGGCTTGTTGAGCGTGTACCACTGTTTTGCTGCACCGGCAGACAGGTAAAAAGAAAACCGCTCTTTTTTAATGTCATCTTTCCAATTAGAAAGTGTAGCGGCTTCTTCGAACTCCTTAATCCATTCGCGCGCATCGTGCTCGGAGGGTTTAAATTTCTCCGTACACTGGAGCGGACCGCTGGATGGGGCGTCGAACACTGTGTTCGTTAACTTCGCAAACCCATCGGTCATCGCTTTGATAGCCGGATCTGTCATTTTAACTGGTGCCGAACTTTCGGTGCCGGTTGTTTCACCTACTTCAGTAACAACCTGGCTTTCCGTCCCAGTATCTGAGCTTTCAGAAGTGGTGCGCGACTGACTATCAGTTTGCTCAGGTTTTGGCCGTCTTTGATATTCTGAACCTTGTAAGCCCTGTGAGAATTCTGGTTGACCGTCAGAGCGTAGGCGCGGACCACCGCCACCTGAAAGGTCACTTTCACTGGGATGTTGGCTAGCACTACTAGCTGATTTGGTTGGAGCGACTAACGCGTCCTTCGCTTTGTCGGCAACCTTACCGGTTTTATCGGAATGCGGTTTACCAGAACCGCTCGACATACAATATAAACAAAATAGATAAGATTTAACCAAGAAGTTGACTGCAGATATAGCTGCTCTTCGCCTGATACAACATGTACCCAAGCACACCGTTAGCGACAACGCTAGACACGGTTACAGCCAAAAGAACCTTAGTGGTAAACGAGCAGCAAGAGAGAATTTTACCGACCGCGGCATTAAAACAAGAGCAGATTGAAGGCATATTAACAGTATTGCTGACCTTTCAATTGCTCCTCCAGTATCTGCAGGCGACGCTCGGTATCCGCTTGAAGAGTAGTTATACGGTCATTAACATCAAGCATAACATAATCTGATTCCGGTAAAGTTAACTCCAACTCAACCATGATATGGAAAAGAAAGGTCACGGGTACGTTATGCCAGGAGCGCCATTCGGCTGTTAACCGAAAGGTTGGTGGTTCGAATCCACCCAGGAGCGCCATGATATATGATGTATATTACCATATACACATAATGCCAAAGTACCGATTCATAACCAGAATTTATTTCCAAGATCTTAGTCGGTAGAATGAATCTGTTAGGATTTCCGTTTTCATACAAGCTAGCAATTCAGCTCTGAAGCATCATCATCAAAAAGATAAGAATCATACGTGATACAATTAATAACTGTTGCATAAGCAACTGTCAACACGACCGCAGTAACGATCGTTGACGCTTACTGAAGCTACTGTACATGCGATTACTCATCACACAGCATAAATACTAACCTAAGCCGGAAATGACATGAAATCAGGGAAATCCACCTAATATCAGACATTTAATCTCCCATTGTCAGTACATCTGGGTTTCAAGGGCATGAGAAAGGCAAAGACATGGACTATAATCATCAGACCATCGGAACGTGCACACAAGACCATGCGACAAACATATGAGTAATAAGATGATGTAAAACAGGCTGCTTGCAAATGTAAACTCTTTTGGGCTTTTTTTTATTTAGGATGTTCCACTATATGTTTGAAAACATTGCCGGCATCAGAGCACGTTGCCTACGCGCTCTCATACTAGTAGTACATGCTTACCAGTTATAATGCCACAGTTACAGGCGCTTTAAGGTTTTTGTCACATCCTTTCATCGTTAGCGCGATGAATTATTGTGGAAATGTCTAAAACAGCAGATTTACTCAATTCATTTACTTGTTATTTTTAAAATTTTTCTTTATGTGGAATGGATTACCACTGGAAAGCTCTCAAAACCATTTACTTGTTTATGTTCGGCCACCATCATCATGATCAAAGAGTTGGGGAAGAGAATACGAACTCATTTAGAAGAATTCTATTCGCATGAATTTCTTTGACAGCGACTATCTCCAGAGATGACCCTTCTTTTCGGATTATTTTTTCACATGTTCTTAACAGCTGAAGTGAATGTTTGCGACATAAACTTGCAAGTGTGGCTCGAGATCCAGATTCAAAACCCTGTGTGTTTAAATGCAGTTTTGACTTGCTTTTAAGTGTAGTGATCCGGTACACGGCGCCGAATTCCAGTGCATGCATAAAACTTTCTTTGTAGCGCATTTTAGATACGTAATGCACCTTTTTTTGCATTTTGTAGCCAATGATTTTTCGTACAATTTGCACACAATGGTGTGAAACCGTTTGTGCGAAAATTCGGGTGGGCAGTTGAAATTCTAATAAAATTCTAAAAAAGCTTTAACGCAAGAAGATATACCGAATGTCAAATTGCAATCTAATTTCCCAATCCAGCATTGTACAAAATGACACACAAGCAGAATGATCGTTTTGACCTAAAATCACGATTCCATCATCCTTTTCGAGTTTAAAAAAAATAAACATTGAAAAAAAAGATCAGAACTCGTTACCATGAATTCTGGTTAATTTTCTGTGAAAATTTTGATGGTGATCGGTTTATAATGAAACTTCTAGGGCACCTTCTTGTGTTAAATCTTACGGAACTTCAATACAGTCATAATTTCCCAACCGGATGTTGTGCGCACAAACTGTTTTCACTTTACTGCATACAAGCCATTCGGCTATGGAATGCAATAAAATGAAGCAAAAAAGTGTTTGACAGTGCGAAAATGAAGGCTTCCATGATTACACACGAATTTGTTGCCATATACAGGGTCACATCTTTATTCATAAATCATTGCACTGTCTAAGATGAATACAGGAACTTCGATAAAGTGCAGCCACACATCATCACGTGTCACATTAGGAACAGCTAACTATCGCGCCCAGTAAAGCAAGTACAATGCGAGCAAGAAAGGAAGCTACGGGTTTAGGGTATGCGTCTTAGCGAAGACAGCGAAAACCTGTCTGTACAGCTAGTACGCGCACAGACAGCCACACTCATACTTGTGTAAGTGAATGCGAGCGGATTTACCGTAGTCAAGCTGAACAGACAGAGCGATAGAGCACAGAGAGAGTTATCAAGGTCCGGCCGCGCTATGATCTGCCTATGCTCAAGCATTCGCCGATGCGATGACTGTGCAAACAAACCATTCTATTGTCTTCGGGACCCGGTGGCCAAAAAATACCTGGTCCGGTGAAATAGGCAATTCACATTGGTCTTGGCTTGGCCAATAGCTGTCATACAAACGAGCATGTCTGACCAATGGCTATCGTGAATACCGGTATCACACTGGAAATGCCAGTACCGATACAAGTCAATGGTTATGGAACTATTTTTCTGCGAAACTACCAGGGCATGATGGGCATCCATACCCGATATTATTTATATTTTGTGATTATGGATGTTTTCTCGCTTTATGATTATGATTGTAAATAAAGCCCTTATTATAATGGTGGTGTTTGTTACAGAATTATGGCTTAGTAAACGGCCGCCATAGAATCTGCTATTAATTACAAATAACATATCAGTTTATACAAATACAAATAGCATATCCACGGCCTTTCTTAAACAGCGCATTAGTTTGGCTATCATGAAGGGAAATGCCGCAGCAGTTTTGGCACTTTGCCAGGAAGAAATAAGATTGTTAATGGAGAGTTTTGTCACGAGTACGACTGGTAGAAGTACATTTTGTATGGACAATCATACTGTGGTGTGGTTTGCAACGGAAGGAAGTGGCTAGAAAGTATCAGCCAATTAATATTGTGTTAAGTGCACTTTGATCTTTCTTAAAACAATCAATAAATTGTTGACGCATGGTTTGTCTATGAGTGCTTTTGAGTTGAAGGCGTGTTCTCTCATCTTTCATATTTTGCATCAGAAATCGCTTCTGAATGCTTGAGGGAGAAGAACTCCTTGTGAATGAATTAATGTCATCCTGCATGGCTAGCAGCTATGGAATATCTGGTCTTGGAAAGTGTTCTCTAGAATGTCTTCTTAGCCTTGATGTTGTTGCAGTGTTAGCTTCAATCAGTTTACATAAAGGTCAACGTTAGCAGAACGATTGGGTTAGCGTCGTGTCTGAGTTTGCTGTTCAGCAAAGGTTAATCACCACCATAAACCATCAGTAGCCTTACGCTATCTGACATGGAGGGCATTTGGTGGTGAAGTCGTTAAGTGTGTTTTTCCGCCTAATTGTTTGATTTTTCGAGTTGACTTAATTCATTTGTCATTATTACCTGTCCGATTTTACCTGTGCACCTGGTCGCCTGCCTGTTACCGGTCTACAGTGGGATACCTTTGTGTTTGCTGTTGCGGATTCGGTGCACCTGGATGCCGGCGATCACGGTGCCAACCGGATGAAGCGGGTGAAGTTCGTGGTTGAAGAACCACACTGGCTGTGTAAGTGGCAGATCGATAGCCGTGTCTAGTGAAGCATGCTGTTTAATTTTGTTGCGATGAGTCATTTCTCCCTGCGTTAAAAAAATTGTTCCGTTTTGCACGATATTGCATGGAATGTGGTTACTACGTGACTTTTAATGGAACACCAGCGTGAATGGTATCGGTTAACTTTTGTTCTTGATACCGGGTTACGATTCAGTAAGATAGCAGTTAGCGTTAAAAGTAATGGGATACAGCAGTTGGTGCACTACGTAGGTGATATTTGTTCTTATGTCCCATGTGTACAAAGAGTCGAAGTTTTTAACCCAGACGGAAGTGTGGGGACGATATACCCATTGAGATAGAAAGGTGTACAAGGTCAACGAACAGTATTTATTATGGTAATGATACTAGTAACTTTCGTTAAACTACGATAGCTGTGCTAGTCTGTATAACTGCCGGCATACCACTTGTGCGATTTTTAGTCGTGAGTGGCTTTCGGGATTTACATATTTTTTTGGCCGTCACCAGCAATGCCAGTTGCTGATAGCCTTCAAATGTAGTTAACAGCAAGCAAGAACACGTTCCGGTAGTATTGTTCATTGTATAATGCATCATGCATTTATAATAATTATTAATATTTTACAACGGCAGCTGCACAGGCTTATGTTAATGATAACTGTTGTTGAACTGTAACAGCTGTGTTCACTCTTTGTTTATTGCCGGTATGACTGTAGTTCCGTTCGGCCGTGGTTATCCCGACTTGTGCAAATGTACTCCCATGACGTATACTCGTACTAAGCAGTTGATGATACATACAGAGTATACTGCATAGTGTATACGCTGTACATGTATAATACACAACATTATTACTGTACATGTATACACGTACATTGACAGCAATGCCAGTTCATGCCGGTACGGTACTAGGTTGCATGAAGTCATGAACATGTACCAGTATCAATGACAATGTAGCTCTGCTCTAAGTAGTAATTCTAATGATAATAATTGTAACTGTTAACCTTGAATTACAATGGCTAATATTAATAAACTATGCCTGCTACAAGAAGCACCTTACCGTTAACACATGTAAGTGAAAGGGAGCTTGTTGGTAAAAGCGAAAAAGCTATAAAAAGTAGAAGTAACAAAGTGATGCCGATTACCAGTAAAGAGCCAGTAACAGATGCGAGCAAAGTTATTAGAGTTGATGATCTGAATAGTACGTTTACTGACGATTCACAGGTTAAAATTATTAGGCCGGCCAGTGCAGATTTAGATCTTTTGCAGAACGAAATAGCGGCTGAAGAAATAACTAAGAAAAGCAAAATGGATGCAGCTGCGGTAAATAAATTGGCTGAGGCTCTAAGTAAATTAAATCCTGCCAAAGTCGAGAGGAAGGTTAACGTTACCGACTTGCCATCATTTTCTGGGCAAGACTCAGAATCCGCAGCAGATTTTTTGATAAAATTCAAACTTTTTGGGGAGTACTTCGAATGGGATAACGAAAAACTGAAAGAAATGTTTCCGATGCGCTTAAACAAAGACGCTTTAAAATGGTTTATAACGAATAAAACTAAGCTACCGGACTGGGATGAAACTGAGAAAGAGTTTCTTAAAGTGTTTGGTAAAAGTGCGTACGACCTTGATCTACAAACACTAAGCTTGTCTAATAATCCGTTAAAAAATCCTTTGGGTTACGTTTTTGAGATTCTTGACTACCTTCGCATAACAAACCCGCTTGCCACAGAGCAGGAGAAAGTACGAGTGATTTTTGAGCACATGCCACCTGAACTGAAAGCAGCAGTTATCGAAGACCGACCAGATACTGTTGATAGGTTTGTTAAGCGGCTTAAAGATATTAAAAGGAAACAACAGTACTTGTCGGTTGCCGGTAGAAATGATACATCGGTAAGAAAACTAACGTGGCAATAAGTCCAAGATTTGATAAGAAAGAACAGTACAAAGTAGTGCAGATGTAAAACTGAAGAAATATAATAAGTAATGATCGTCGATCGGTTTGTTTCTTGTTCGGTTAAAGTCATCAAGAAATATAAACCATGACAGTAAAACAACAGGCGGACAGTATTGAATATAGTACTTAGCTGTGTTTTGAAAATAAAAGTTTTTGTGAGTGAATGATACTTATTATTATGGATTTTAGCCATGAACAGTCAGGGCCCTGGTCTGTAAATGGTGCATATTTAAAAATGTAAAAAAAAATATTTGTATAATGGTGATGAGTTAATGAGATTTTGAGAGGAATTTTGAGAGTGTTAAATTAATGATTTAGTTTGCCGCCTTTTGTGTAAAATTTTTTATCTGTCAGTAATGATTTTGCAATCGCAATCTAAAGATCAGCCAATTAAGAATGTTGCTACAGATTTTAAAATTTGTGGTAAATTACCCTGTTACTTTCACTGAAACTAAATTACAAGTAAGTTCCTGTTTAATCATCAAATCATTTTCAACTGGCTACGGGGGACGCCCTAATGATCAGTTAAAAGTGGTGAGAAATTCACATACGACTTCACTTTTTATTGGTTTACATACGTAAACTGTAAACTGATTTTAATGAAGCGGCTTATTTTTTACTCTTCCATCAGACAGAACTAACTGTTTGTTCTTACCTTGCATCCAGAACTGTGTGTTGGACGTCAACAAATAAAACCTAGGCTTGTGCGAATATATTAGCGGGAGCAGTACGTGCGGTGCGATGCACTCATATGTTGTCAGATGCCTGCACTGACTCAGACATTCAGTATTGAAGCGTAACGCACTGAACCACTAAGTTGCCGGCATGTAACCAAAGGTCGATTACTCATTTCGCCTTAACGAGAAGTTATACCGTGTTCGTGGTCTGAGCGGCACATTCGCTTGTGCGCGATGGGCCCAACGTTGACAGCAGAACCGTTACAGCTTATAACAACCAAAATGGTTCTACTACACGTCTTAATAAGAGAAAAAAATCTTTGTATGTGTTTAAGCCAAAAAATCTAGTGTTTTGTACTGTGAATTTTCAAAATGTAATAACTAATTTCATTGTTTTTTGAAAAATTCAAATTTACCATAGAAGGGGCGTATTCTAGAATAGGAAAAACTCTGAGAAGAGTTTTTGTGTTTAAAGTTTAAAATACGCCCAAAATTGACAGATAAGATAGTATTCTTGCCGTATGAGCAATTTGAAAAAATCAGTTTTTCGAAACCTGACAATGGTATAACTTCTTCTTAATAAAATTCTCTGTTTCCTTGGTTTTTAACGCGGGCGCATTATGCTCGGTTGGTTTTTTTAAGTTACATCAACTACATTTTGGTTAAGATGGCTTTTTCTTCTAATTTAATTTGCGTTTTTTTTTCAAAGTGAAAATTGCATCTTCGTTTAGTTTGCACCATGTGTTGTTTTTTCGCATGTACAGTATTCATGTTCCGTACAGTGTACATTTTTGTTTCTCTTTGTCTACTTTCTTTGAGTTGCAGTTTTATTGGTTTCCGTTTCCCTAGTTTTGCATGCACGGCTATATCGATCGCTTTTTCGTATGAGCGCCTTGTGCGGGCCGAAGCGCCAAGGTTGAGTGGAATGTTTTTCGCAGTCAAAGCAGATGAGAATGAGTCAGCGAGATCAATGACCTCCAGCGAGGACAACATATGTAAAGAGCCCTGCTGTTTAATGTGAGATGCGTTCGTCGATAAGGAACTGGATGAATCGCGACATGCCACGTGCAGTGACTGGATGCAGCATCATTATGCAGCTTTATCCGCCACAGAAGCGTGCTTTTCCGACCGTGAATGGATCGATAAGGGATAGTTTTGCCGAATAATTTAGCGCAGATTGGTCTAGCGTCTGCGGATTCACTGACATTTTCCCCAGCGGCATATTCAAAGCCTAAGAAGGAGCGCGTGACCTGTGCAGCAGATGCAGTGTGGATATGGAGTGGAAAGCCCGAAGGATACGGTGGAGTGGATTGGGATGCAGGAGTGAAGCGGGACTGGATTTGGATGGATGGGTTGGTCGATAGCGCCCGTAGTTTGGAAACGGGTTGGTCATTAGCGCCCGTTTTGGAGTGCGTATATGTTTTGAAAGAGAATGCCAGGTTGGTTGTCGGCGCCTGGTATTTTGTGAGTGCGCTGCGGCACATCATGTCGGCCGCAGAAGTTCTCGCATCAGTTATTGTTATCGCTTTTTACTACGCCTGTGGATGGCCTGAAACTGTACCGCTACCTGTTGTGTTGTCACCTGACGTTATCTTCGTAACCTTTCTTGTGGAGAATTGTCGCGATATCACTGGACGTTACCTGTTCTAAACTTACTTCAAATTTCTATTCTCGTATTATGTTCATGACCTGACCACGTGACACCACCTGTCAGCTGTATTACACCAGGAGTTTTACCCGGGGCCTCCATGTAGCCAACGGTTCTAGTGGTTGTAAAGGCCTATTTTTACTCGGCTTTCGTCACATTTTTCTTTACGTCCGTCAAAATGGCAGAATACGCACATGAACCTAGATGTCCATGAAATCTGACGACCGTGATAAAAGCCGGCACTAAAATCCGGCTTACAGCACGGACATGAGCAAAACGGCCTCCTGGTTATACTCGAAAATCAGTTTCGCCAAACCTCGAAATTCCAAAACTGATTTTCGACATAAAATTACGACTGCTCTACTTCCTGTTGGGTGGGATACATTCAAAATATTTCCAACAGGCGATATTTATGCAACTTTGAGCCCTTTGGTTAATCATTCATTTCGCGTTCGGTTGACTGATAGCTCTGCAGCGATTTAGTATTTTTTTCGTATGAATTCCACATAATTCCGAAGATGACCCATGCAGAACGACGTTTCACCCGTTTTCGCCAGCAATGGATGCTCGGATGGATCCTGTGGACGCTCGTGCCGAGGACGTCACGGTCCAAAGAAGGAGCGTGTCACGAGTACGACTGGTAGAAGTACATTTTGTATGGACAATCATACTGTGGTGTGGTTTGCAACGGAAGGAAGTGGCTAGAAAGTATCAGCCAATTAATATTGTGTTAAGTGCACTTTGATCTTTCTTAAAACAATCAATAAATTGTTGACGCATGGTTTGTCTATGAGTGCTTTTGAGTTGAAGGCGTGTTCTCTCATCTTTCATATTTTGCATCAGAAATCGCTTCTGAATGCTTGAGGGAGAAGAACTCCTTGTGAATGAATTAATGTCATCCTGCATGGCTAGCAGCTATGGAATATCTGGTCTTGGAAAGTGTTCTCTAGAATGTCTTCTTAGCCTTGATGTTGTTGCAGTGTTAGCTTCAATCAGTTTACATAAAGGTCAACGTTAGCAGAACGATTGGGTTAGCGTCGTGTCTGAGTTTGCTGTTCAGCAAAGGTTACTCACCACCATAAACCATCAGTAGCCTTACGCTATCTGACAGTTTGGTTGTTTTTTTCAATCTTAATACAGCAGTGTGTAAGTAGAGTGGTTGACCTACTGTGAATGTATGACGCTGTAAAACCAAATAAATAAAAATTGGAATAGCATATTATTATGTCATATTAATTTCCTGGTTATTGTGCTTATACCTGTATCCACATAGAATATTTCAAATGTTACACTTTAAGAAGCAATAGCCACCAAGATAACCCTGATGGCAAGCGCTGGCAGTTGATAGTTAAATTTCAAACATTTGACATATTTGTATTATATTTGTTGATTTGTGGTTGATTATTACCATGAACAGGGATATTTCGAATTCACAAGCGCTGTGTGTAGCTGCAGTCTAGTTGTAAATGGAATGAGTAAACTGGAATACGTGGCATTTGGAAGGCTAGAAGCCCTCCCTCTGCCTGGTTCTGAGGTGGGGCTTGTGCTCTTACATCGCATCGGCCATAAATTTCTACGCTCTGTCCTGACCTCTTATAAAAGTAGCTCTGCCTGTTCAGCTTGACTACGGATTTACCCACTCGCACACACATGTGCCGATCGATCGATACAGCAAGCAGCATTCAGCTTGCGCTTTTGGCAGCACTGGAATGCGCTGTCTTCGGTCTATTTATAGTCACAACAGAGGAGCTGCATTGATCAACCAGCCTCAGCGGGCAAGAAAGGCTGTTCGCTGGCTTTTAACATAGACCGTAGCCTCATCATTTAGTCAGATTGTATCTGTGCTGCAGCAGTAATAACAACGATTATCCACACTGTCGGGTTTTTACAGATGCCGGTTTCCTCAAATCAACACCGAATTTGCTGAAAAATTATTCGACGAAGATCCGGCAAGGATAAAACACAAATTATGGGATCCACTATAGCCTGCACTTCACCGAGTGAGAAAATCCAGTACATGATGCTAGGGTCGACAATCGTCGCTAACATCGGCAGTTCGATGATTACAGACGGCGTCCAGCAGAAGAAGACAGTCAGGGTCAACAACGTCAGCAATAAGAAGGCGCTGCTTTCCGGCTTTGCGTCGGGCTTATCTGACCGATGCGAGGACGCACCCACTGACTGAATATAAATACCTGCAAAGGTCAGCGATGCAACTTATACCAAACTGACGGACCAAGCTGTATCAAACTAATTTTGATTTGTAAGCATTATCGATTCTATCGATGCCCAAAGAACGCTTTCGTATGGTGAGTACCGTAATTGAGTTGTACGAGCACCACTGCGTAAACGATCTTGCCTCTTAGTCTCTCCGCAGTATGACCCTGTCATTCTTACCATACGCGAACACCGTTTTATGTGATCACTCTTTACATGCAGTCAACAGATCGAAAATAACAAAACTGATGTATAGATTCGTACGCCAACGTTGCCGGCATGTCGTAGCTTGAACGGTCACATATGAAAAAATCATTTGAGCTGAATCAACAAGACCTTCGCTTCTCTCCGGTATTACGTATTAATTTTGCGTCAGGCTGCAAACCATACTAGTACTATGATACCACATAGCATACATCGATGCATGCTATGTAACATCATAGTACATGATGCTGGCTGATAGTGGTCTGATATCAGACTTTCCAACCGCTAATTGATGAAATAGGTAGGTTTAGATTCGCCGATGCCAGTTACAGTACTTTCCCAGCTTCTCGTCGTCTGACATACGAAATATATTTATCAACTACGTATTTTTACTACGCTGATCTCAACTTTTTCCAAGCGCTTGTTTGGTTGGTTTTTGACTGCCTCAAGTAGATAGACGTCTCGTACTTCTAAACGTACTTTTCGTACTCGTACTCGTACTACAAAAACTGCACTCATGGAAAGGACATACTATGTAATGGAAGTGTGCTACTGCATACAGGTACATAGTAAGTGTCATGTAAAAAAATATTAATCCTTGAAACGAAAAGAACATTTCTGTTAGTCCCCCTGATCTAAATCTAAATAAAATGATAAATCCCAGAAATCATTGTAAGGGTGATCTAAATTTAGAATTTCTTCCATAAATTGTTCGTTGTCCAACTGTTTTTCTTCTATAAATTGTAATTATTGGATTGCAATAGCTATTTTGAAACTAGACGTATTGCCGAAAGAAGTTGGACATACCGCTATTTTGCAGTTCGGAGTGCGGAATGTGCTGTAACCTTCGTGAACGATTCCGGCGAATAACGAAAACCACCACATACTGTGCCAGTACGATGCACAGCGTAATAAAGGACACAGCCTGATAGACAATAAGCCAGGTTTGCTCAGGCAGGGCCAAGAAATTCCATTCGCAGCCATACACCGCTTCCGGTTGTCGGAATAGCAAGACATCCAACACAAGTGCAGGTACGACCAAAAAATGAGCGGCAATCCAACACAGAGCAGACAGTACAACGGCGATACGGGTGGTGTGCCGAGCGCGATACTGAACCGGAAAGATCACTGCGCAACACCGACACAACGCTACGGTGGTGTGGATAAAAATCTGAGCAGTCGGAATGACACTCGCAGAATAAATACGGAACGTACACCAATAGGTACCCCCACACCACCGCTCGAATAGATGATTGAGAATTTCCAGTGGTCCAAAAGTCACGGCTAATACGAAATTGGCGCTTAACAGGGTAAAAACGTAGACGTGAAAATTCCGGATAAGGCGAAAGTTGATGAGATAGAAAATCAGTACCAGTCCGTTGAGCGCGCAGATCATGACACAGATTATCAAAATTCCGATACTGTACGACGACCAGTACATCGGGTTGACGGCCGCGGCACACACGTTAGCGGTATCAGTTGGCAGCTGAGCTATAGTTAACCGCTCCCTTCATGGTTTTTAAGTGTCACCAGTGTTGAAAATCATAATTTCCCCCAGAAAAGGACTAAAATATGCTTAAATATGATGTAAAATTAGATTATTGTCCAAAAATATTTTTATAGCATACGACTGAAGCCATATAGCAGTTATGGAAACGTTTGGCATTAAAGGGAAGACAACTCCTTTAAGGTTAACACGCACACTTCCAGGCTACCGCACTGTGAGGTTGGTATGTGCGGTATGTGATTCTATACAGTACAAATTTCTTTTTGTATGCGTAGGCAATACTAGTAAAAAAAGTCGGCGATCACATATGTTCTCCCGTTCAGATGGAAGAGAAGTGTCTAACAGATCGTATAATTGAACTGTCATTATCCAAATGCCGTTCCGACCGTAACGTCGGTGTAATTAACGAGCTGGTTTAGTATTACCACATTCTTCCCTTTAAAGTCATCCGAAATTTCTTTGACTGAATCTCCTCTCTCGTAAATTGAATTTCCTAATCTCGCAGTTGTAAACTAAAATCAATTTGTGTGAAATTTCCCCTAGTTCATTACGCCCTCTTCAAGTAAACCGTAAAGACATCCGTTTTAATCATTTGGCGTCCAGTTAGCGCAGATGATATTATAATTCAGTGTCATTAAATAGGGGGAATTTATCAGTTATGAGAAATATTTTACTGGTAAAAACCGACATGTATACATGTACAGTATATTGTCAGCATCACCGAAACAGAATGGCCCGCAAATAACAACAACATAATAAAAACAACATAATGGCCCGCAAGGCTGTGTGCGAAGTGGTTAGTCGGCATCAGCGCTGACCGTACGGAGTGGCGTGTACGTTTCCTCGACGCCTGTGATCAATACGGATTCTACGTGGATCAATTCACCACTTCGATGCCGTACGTGGACGTACGAAGGGGCCTCAACTTCGACTCAACTTTGATACGGATGCGATATAGAGTGATACTGATCTTGTTGTTCTGTGGCTTTGTGCCTTGTGCATGACGCAGCTTTGTGCCCGTATTAGCCTACAGCAATTCTGTGACGTGTTGCTTCTCTAGCGTACGTATTACTGGTGTTTAACGAGTTGTGGTGACTTGACTAGCCTTAGCATATTTGATATTCTTCAACGGATAAGGATATGTGAGAGTGCCCGTTTACGGGCTTGGCTACTCAAAATTAAATCAAATCAAATCAAATCAAAATCAGATCATCACATCTACAGTAAATAAAAATTTGTACCAATTCCCTCCACATGGGGCCGTTGCGAAAGCCAATTGTAAATCACCTCTTGAGATCTGGAAGCTCAAACTTTAAAAAAAAAGATGGTCCGTATTCGCCAAAATAAAAACAACATAATTATCTTCCTGAGCTTTTCAAGGGAAGTGTGCCGGCAGATGGCAACAAATTGATGTACATGTATGTACACTTACGAAAAATTTTGTTTCAGCGCAACAAACACCTTTTTGAATTGTTTTCTGACATTCTGTGCCAAATGATTTGTAAATACTGGCGCGAAAACGGTTTGTGCGCGCAATATCCGTTTAGAGAGTTGTTGGTGAAATAAAATTCCAAAAAACTTAATCGCTCACAGATGTACCAAACGTCGTTTTGAGCTGATGATCTTTTAGATTATATCTAACTAGGCTTAATCCATTTTTTTAAAATTTTGAAATGAATTTCAACAATTTGTTACCTGGTTCGGTGCAAGAACAATCTTCATGCATGTCTGCCCTTTCACGCAAAATTTAAAGAGAAACGGTGACTTAAGTTATCCGTATTTGTTCACTATAGGATGTCATAAATCACCGCGAAAAAGCTTTTGGGAGCGCGCGAAAGCGAAAGGTTTCGACGTGTACGTTGTACATGAATTTGGCACCATGTGCCAGTCCACTTTCCTTAATTAAATTAATAGCGCCTTCATACCGCAAACGCGAGTGCTTGCGTGACTGCTCAACAAGATAATGTTAATATTGTACAGCATGCTTTGGACATACCGGTCGTTCTCCTCCAAAAGAAGCAGTATTACGTCAAACTACTCCGTTAACCATAAAGCCCGGCTGCTAGCTGTGTCCCAGCCCGAATCCGGACTGTGGCTTAACGCGGTTCCAGTGGCAAGCCTCGGCACCTTGCTGTCAAATACCGAAGTGAGAATCTCCATCGCGCAGCGCATCGGCGCTACAGTATGTATAGAACACCGGTGCAAATGCTGCAGCGCTGTTGACAAGTGGGGATATCACGGGTTGGGATGTAAGCATCTGAAAGCGAAAATCTCTCGTCACAACGAAATCAGAGATGTCATCCATCGTGCGTGTGATTCGGCCAGCATTCCTTCTGTTCTGGAACCACCAGGCCTGTACCGCGACACTCTGAAACGACCGGACGGCATGACCTCGGTCCCCTTTAGTCAAGGAAAATCTTGGGTTTGGGACGTCACCTGCCCGGACACCATGGCCACTTCCTACATCGCCAAGACGTCCCAGGAGGCCGGTGCTGCCGCCGTTATGGCAGAGGCAAAGAAAAACCATAAGCACGGATATATACGCGATAATTTCAACTTTTCTGCTTTGGTTTTCGAAACAATGGGCGTGTGGGGTAAAGAATCGAAATGTAAGATGTCTACACTCGGTAAAATGCTTTTTGAGAGGACACAGGAGAAACGGTCCACTCAGTTTCTGAAGGAGAGAATCAGTGTTGCTTTGATGCGAGGTAATGCTGCGTATGTTCAGGAAATGTTTTGTACTGTCAAGAGACTGGATGAAGTGTACTATGTGTTGAAATGATGATTACTGCGTGATTTTGAGTTTAACCACTGTCAATGTGAATAACCCAATAAATCCCCTTTTATATTGTACTATACTGCGAGTCTGTGATGACAGTTGGCTCGCAGACAAGGAAGTGTATTTAGGTTTGTGCCGGCGTTATTCCAAATGACGTAAAAACAAAGCTGTCGTTGCTCTAGACGTTTACCTCAAACCGCGCAACTACATCACAGATCATCAAAATGTCATTAACCTTTAGTCCTTCACGTGTACAGATGCACAGATAAAACCTATTTCATTCAAATAATATATCGTATCCCCGGAATATCAGGGCACTTTAAGCTGCGGTTCCCTATCGTGGCGCACACCACTCCGAACTACAACTGGAAAACAACACGAGCTTTGTTATCATTGCAATCGCAGCCGCAGAAGCGCTTCTTTTCTTCTTTTTTCCCACAATAGCCTTTATACGATACCCTGGCACCTCGAAAAATTTAAAGATTCTAGGAAGATAAATGGATGCTATACTTCTAGTTAACTAGTATGTACGATGTCGTACTGGAGCGTTGCTATATTTCACTGGAAAATGTCAGAACATTACCATGACAATTCGCCATACAATCGTGCGCGTAGGTGTTCCCGTCCGTTCCACACACCCGACCGGCCCCTTCAGGGCGGCACTCCGTATTAGGACAGAGCAACATACACTCCGTCTGAATGACCATGACTGAAATAATAATCTAGGTAATTCCACAGTCTGCCCCCAAGCAAAATTACTATAAAATTAATGGCAGCACTTCCTTACCAGTCCCCAGGAAGATGACCACGCATACAGCGATTACCGCTTTCATAATATTATCTGTACCTATCAGTTTGTTACTGTTAATAGGCAATAACTAGCAAGCCTTCAGCTATCGGTCGAATGCAAAAAAGTGTTGTACAATGGGCACAGAGTCGTCTACGATGGCATCCGCTAGGCGTAGAACCCTTTTTGTCTTTTTGCGGCTCAGAGTTTCGGCATGGTGTTTGACGACTTTTTCAAATACTATAGTAGTGTACTTGCAATCTATCGAAGCGATTTTGTATCGTGCTTAGCATCGTGCTGGCATGCTTTTTGTGTCGTTCAATATGCAGCTGACTTGAGTTCTTTTCGATATTATACTATGCAAACACCGATTCTTCAAACCTTCCTCGTTGCGTATCGAAGGACATACAAAACATTGCGTTTCATTTTATTTTGCGTCTATAAGTTGTTTTGAATGGCATCTGCTAAGACGTGAACTTGACACCGCCATTTGCGTACCAAATCTCATGCACAAGGCCGGTCGAAGGTCAGTTTATGATTACCGCAAGCAATGGTGCGACGTAGCATCTATGCGCCAAAAGCACCTATAACAAAGTACGTGATTGTAACAATGATTTTCCAGCCACATACGTATTGTCATTTTTCGGCATTTTCATTTTTTCGTCGTGTTTAAAAACAGAAACATTAAAAAAAATTATAATCTGATCATGGATACCACCGTTCTTCAGGTTTATTTACCATAACAACATAAAAGGCAAAACAGCGATGATGTAAAAAATGAGCCCAAAACCACAGCACCAAGTCTGCTCCCAGCCAGCCGAGAATGCCCTTTTTAATTTATTTATACAGCCATTTTATTCGAAAACACAATAATATCCCCAAAGTAGCAGGTCCTTCTATAAGGCTTAGCGCTGACGGACATCAATTCGATTATAGCTCGAACGTAAGAGGAGAGCTCCTGTCCTTGCAAAAGCAACTACAGAGGCATCCTTTTTTCTCGCATTCGCCTTTATGAGCTACCGTGGTTTCTGTAAAAATATAAATAGTCAAGAAACAACAATATGCTAGTTTGATAAACTTGTTTCGTCTTCATAATGAAGTGCTGCAGTATATACCATGTACTCGTACAATCCAAACAGCTAACAAAATATAGATTACTTGCACAGTTCGCTCGACATTCACTGGAGTATGTTGTTCCGTCAGCTCCACACACCGACCCACCGCCGTAGCAAAAGTTGCTGAAGCAAATATTAAAACACTCCGTCTTGCTTATCAGGGCTGCCATAAAAACAGGTGGACCATCAGAATCTGTTACTAGTTAAAGTTGTGCTAAATGGTCATCAAAGTACTTACCACCTGCCAGAATAGCAGCCAACAATCCAATTGAAATCGCTTTCATTTTGCCAGCGATCGCTGCGGAATAATACGTGTAAACTGTAAACCTTGAAATCACGCCTTACCTGTAAACCTGTAAACCTTACTCTAGAAACCTGTAAACCTTACTCTAGAATTCTGTCGAATCAAGCTAGGTTAGCAAAAGTGCGAAAATGATATTGTCTTCTGTCACTGCCTTCTCAAGCGTTCAGTATTTCCGCTGACTGTCTCAGCATTCTGGTTACAGTTGCCGCTCGGGCTTTTGCATTTTATTATGAGCTTCCGATATACCATTGTCTGACTAGAAACTGTATGCGAACAACTATTAAGCATTTTTTCCAATCGCAGCTTTCCTTTACAGTACAAATAAACTACACAATGTATTGCATGAGAATTTCTCGTATGCAACAAGATAAGCAAATAAACGGTACGTTGCAAACTTTGTAAAGAATCCATTGCCTTAGCAGTTATTTTATTTTAAGCGTTAACGCTCGACTGGTGATGTGAAAGTCACTTTACTACCAGTGGAGTTGCTGTAGACCGTGAAATTTACTGCATGCTACCGTAATTATCGAATTTGCCGCACTGGGCGGCAAATAGTTCGAATGCCAAGGAGCAGGTGCGCTTATTTCGGGGAGGTGCGCTTATTTCGGGGGGTGCCCTTATTTTTCAAACAATAAATTTTAGAAGGGGCCGTTATTTTTCAAACAATAAATTCCAGGAATTATTATCTTAGAAGCGAAACAACAGCGCATCCAGCTGTACCGAAACTGAGCGCCCTAGTTACCGGTATATGGCTAGCTCGCAAATGGTAGTAATCGTTTAAAAATTTTAACTTTAGCGTATAAATCTTAAACAAAAATTACGATCTAATTACCGGTTTATTAGACTTAACATTTAATTACGGCACCGGGTGCCGTAATTTCGGGGGGTGCCATTATTTTTCGAACATGATTGCGGCGGTGCGCTTAATACGGGGGGTGCGCTTATTTCGGGGGTGCCACAAATTCGATAATTACGGTATATGGCGGAAACGTAACAGATGCAATGAATCACGTCACGTTTTGGTGGCGATTTCGCTTGTACCTTATAATAACACATATGGGATTCAAAAATAACGCTATCACAAAAAAGTATTCTCCATTCCGAAATAGCTGGGCGCTTTCCTGTGCAGTTCCACATCCTTTCACATAGCACTACAACTACAGGGCGAGCGTTACAGGAGTTCTCCTATCTTTCAAGGGCAAGTGCACTGGCTTTTGCATTCTCCGTCGTGAGCTATTTTGGTGCCTGGAAAGCGTAAAAATAAAATTTCGTAGCTGCACAAATTATTGCTTTGCTTTGATTGCTTTAAAGAAAAGCAACAGATTTACCTGCACAGTCTGCTAGGCACTGGCTCAGATACGTTTCCCATTCGTTCCACACACCGGCGATTCGCGAGAGCTGCAAACCATCCCGCCACAGAAAAATAAGCAGTCGATCGGGCTTACCATGACTGTACAGGAACACAAATTACACCGTATATTACTGATATACTATGTAACACAAAATTGAAAGTGCTTTACTTCAATATGCATAACGGCCTCAGTCCTTCTTACACTAACATGTGCTGCAGTAAACAGGGAATACCGTCCGAACGGATGAAATATCTAGCCGGATGCTATTAATGTTAAAGCTGCAAAACTGTTCTACAGCCGAAATAACGTGTGCCTTAAATTTTGGGCATCTATTTCCTTTTTCATTTTCAGCACCGTACAGTGGCCGGGTTTGCCCTGGTAGCAAGTTACACGCTCCTAATCTCCGTTGCTGTCAGTTAAATTAATTATTGATAGGTGCTGAATTATGTGGGATTAAATCACGCTAACGCTGAATTTGGAGTGACAACTCAACGGGAACAGCGTCGTCTGGCTTTGCGTTTATTCGGCACCGACATGTACATTTTTGTAAATTCTGTTTCGCCGGCACATATGCCCCGTATATCGTACGTAATTGCTATGCATATTGTACGTAATTTCTTTAAGCTGGTACATAATTTTTTGGAATAGTGCTTTGACTGCGCGGTTGACTTGCCTCCCTTAATAATATGCTATGCAAACAACGATTCTTTTCAAACATGAAAGATTTTGTATCCAACAAAAACTGACACTGTGTTTTCTGTATGAAATTTCCATGCATGACATGGACGTAAACGGCAAACGCAACGACGGTGGGTACCGAGTGTGAAAATTTAATCTCATACGCCCCCTGCAGTAAAATCCAAAAACGGTCGTCAGTTTGCCGCGCCACGATTATGCTGGTGCGACGGACCAAAATGTCCTTCTCGTTGGCTGACAATCTTGCTTTAGTACAGACTGTACCGTTGCTTCCGGCTTTCCGCAGAAAAGATTACTACCGTTTCAACGAAACAAACAACCGTTTCAACCGTTTCAACGTTTCAACAACATGACACATGTAAATTGTTGAGTAGTGATGTGCGGTCGAAGACTCGAATAAGAAACTTTAATGTCACTGCGTGATAGTAAAAGGCTTTTGCTACAAAGTAAAACGACAGCTCATCCTGACATCGTATCATCATCCAGTTGAACTGGTAGGGGCTGTAGTATTAAAAACAAACTGTACCATCTACAATTGAAACCGTGGAAAACCGCCTGTTGGGTTGCGGTTACAAAGTTGAATACCAAAATCAACAGACAGCTCAACAGGAACACATCAGTGTTTTAATTGAAGGACGTACTTCTCTTGTCCTACATGGAAAATGTGACCGGACATTTAATTTTCTGCATGAAACCGGTTTATCTTGTTTCGTTCGGCTTCGAAATCGAATTCGTGGAGTTTGGTAAAAACATTGGCACTACAGTAAAACCCCTCGTTACATACACCCTTATACAACATTCACCTCTTTATTGTATACGTGCGGCTGGGAACCGGACTGTTCGGTGGATTATAACATAGGGGCAGTTCTCTATATAACATACACCCCTCTATAAGTATAGCATACACCTTCCTTGGAACCGCTGACAGTATTTAACATACAGTCAACCCCTGCGTTACATACAGCTGCCTGAATAAGTTGAGAAAAGTTTCAAAGAAAGTTCCGGTTTCTGGTTCAAATCTGTCCAGTACCAGATCTGACAGAAAAAAACAGCAAAAAGGCATCAAAAATTAAAGATCACCGGTTAATTCTGAAGAATAAACTGCCAGTAATATGGTAGCTTTTTGAAACGGTACGCAAAACAGAAGCGACAGAGTTTTTTTTGGAGGAATAGCATGAAATAAATAAACAAAACGTCAGCTGCACCTTGCTTAGTTACTACTGACCAATCTACAACAGCCCCCTGGGGGGTAAATTACCGACCGCCCCCAGGGGTAGTGCCCCTATGTAACATACACCTCTTTACAACATTCAGAAAGCTGAGAACGGAGGGTGTATGTAGTAGAGGGATTTTACTGTACTTGCAGTGTATCAGTTGACTCTACTGCAATTTTAAGCATGTTAAACAACACGTTCCGTTTTTGTTGGCCATAGGGCGCAAATCCTGTTGATCTATACTTGAAAGCATAGCGTAGCTAAGCATCATACTTTACAAAAAGAAGTACAGGTGGTCAGTGACTCAGTAGCCTACTATAACGCTAACGTATTCGCCAGGGCCTAAAATAGTGCAAAGTCAATGATGGACACCCCTGGAGGGGGGACGTTTTCACCCTCCCCCCCCAAGGGGGGCGGGAAAAATCTTAAGCGATTCCGTGACCTTTGCGCACTACGACAAATTTTGCTGATATACGGGGTGGTGTTTCAAATATTGAATATTGTAAGAAATTGGCATAAGTGTGTAAAACATTTGTTCGAGTAAAATCTCTTCGCGCGAAGCGCGAAGTCAACGAATAGGTGGGCTGAAGAAATGGTTAGAAATTCGAATAAAAATACTGAATATATTAATTTTCCTCTTTGTAACATGAACCTTCATGTGTTATTTTACTACTTAGTGGTCAGTAAGCAGACGACCGGTAAATACCTGTAGAAATCAACAGCCTAAATTAAGCAGTAATAAAAGAGTTATTGGTTATTTCATTTGCTGCGGGAATCATCTTCTGCTAGCAAAGCCATTGAAACCAGGTATATACTGTAAATACAATGTAAATGCAGTACATACAATGATTTTGCGCCAGAAAATCAGTATTGAGATACAACGGGGAAACGCTGTCTCTGTTCTTGGAACGTTTAACGACATGGTTGACAACGAGAATGTGTTTTTTGCTTTTAAGCTAGCTAAACGGGAGTAATGTATTGTACAGATCATGCCGTTACGGTGTTACCGCAAAAAATCATTTCTTAAAGTGTACATGTAAATGCAGTACTCATACACACAAGAAGACAGCAGAGAATATCGGTTGTGAATCTTATGGTAAGTATTCGTGCGTTTGACAGGCAGATAGACAGCTGACTGTAGGCATAGCTGACTGACTGCCTTGACCTTGATTACTTTGAAGACGCTTAAAAAGGCATAAAGGGAAGTGTTTTAACTTTCTAAACAGCTCGAAAACAGGGGAGACAACAATCTAAAAAAATTAATTTGAAATTCATAGACCCCCATTTAATTTTCTTATTTTATTTGAATTTTACAATAATGGACACTTTTTCCGGCAATGATGGACAAACTGTTTTCAATGATGGACACTTTGTCCATTAATGGACACTATTTTAGGCCTTGGTATTCGCTAAAATTACAAGTCTGAATAAGCAGCTGAACCATTATATTAAATCTAAAAAAATCGAGTTCGAAAATTGAGTTCGAAAAAGTTAGAATCGCATCAGACCGCTTCAACCGGCAGTTACCTTTCCCGGCGCAAACGATTGCTGTTGCGACACTCACAAGACAGCGTCGATACAGTGTTGACAATGGTTTACCTGACCATTCTAGGAAAACCGAAAGCACAACGAGATCTCTCATCCATCGCCATCGCAGCTGCAGAAGCAGCGCTTTTTCTCGCATTTGCCTTGATGAGCTACTGCGACACCTGGGGAATTCAAAGATGTAAATGGGCAAGTTAAGGGGCCATCCATAAATTACGTAACGCCAAAATTCACGATTTTGAATACTCCCCTCCCCCTGTGTCACCAATGTTAACAAAACTGAGACCCCCTCCCCTAAGCGTTACGTAATAAAATCAAAACCCCTCCATAAGCTTTACCATTGTGACGTCATAATTGTAACAAAACGTAACACATTTTTTTAAAGCCCCTCTCCCCTTTGTCATAAATAGTAACGTTTTAAAGACTCCCCCTACCCCCTACTGGCGTTACTAATTTATGGATGGTCCCTAAACACATGCATTTGCTTCTGAAAGTTAGGCTCTTCGCCCTTAAAAATTGAGACTACTTGTAATTTCAAAACGTAGACCTTACCGAGACAGTAGGCTATGCGCTCGCTGGAGTACGTGATCCCATTCTTTCCACACACCGGTCCAACGGAAGGAAAGGTGGTACACGGGAAGAAACAATCCGTCTTGCTGACCATGCCTGCCATAATGAAACATACCGGAAGAGACACCACAATAAAACTAAGATCCCTTTTTTTCAACCCAGTATCTTCAAGTAACCAGCGAATAGTACACACAAGTTCAAGACTAGTATTCAACGAATGATTGACTCTGGAAGCTGTGTTTTGATTGCAAAAGATGATTTGCTGTCTTTTAGCTTAAAATATGCGGTTGTTTCGGACCGTTTACCATTCAGAATCTTAAATCTAGCAACTTTTAGAATAAATTTTAGCTTTGTTAATTTGGGTAATAATATAGTAGTAACAGTTAGTATGTATAGCGATACAGTTGCTGCAAAACTGCAATTAGTATAATCTTTCCTTACCAGCTGCCAGAAATATGAACATCAAAACACCCGCTGTCGCTTTCATGGTGTTTTTTACCCGGTGTTTGTACAACAAATATTACAATTATAATAACAGTATTATGAGTTAACAGCTTAATACTAAAACAGTTTATATGGTGATTATGGCACATTAGGGCGTGCACTAGCCATCAGTTTACACAATTGCTGGTACAGACGTAGAGATTCGGTCAGCTGTTCGGACATTTGTAAGGGCTTCTGTTATTTGTTTTAGTTTGCGGTTGATTTGCGTTCTTTGAGTCGTAGCCTGTGTAAAAAATGGTTTCTTGAACCATAGCAGTCGTAAATGCAGAACAATCTGACACAGCATTTTGTTTCTATATGGAGCCATTACGCGTAACAAGATTAATAACTGCTACCTATCGTGGAGACATTTGTTGCAACTTGTCGCCTCAGCAGCAGTTTTTTCTATGAGGTGACCAGGACTGACTATATTCAGGCCTAAAACCTGGGTTGTCACGTGATCACCCATGAGACGACACCGGTGGGCGGTCCAAAGGAAGTGACTAGCAGATTTCGCATTTTAGTCGGACGTTGAGTACGTGATATCAAACGATACATCTTATCTTGCACAGCAGCTAATAAAATCGACGCTTTATGAGACGGAACAAATAAACATCCAAACTGATAATATTGGTGAACTTTTAAAACGAAAATTTAAGTTATCCCGCTTTCAGGTATCCACAAACGTTACGCATAATATGACAAACAGAACGGTAAGCTTCAAATTATCGAACTGCCGTGAAAAAAACTTGCTGCGGAAACTGCACCTATACGCTAAAATGGCGAGACGAAGGAATCTGCGCAAACTGTTTTTAGTTTGGAATGAAACTAGTAGAATAGCGAGGAATAAAACATGAAATCAGTACTCAGTGCGTATTAGCAGTTGCGTTCGCTCCTAGTGGCACTGGAGGGGGCCCTGGGCGCCCGGGACGACGGTGCAGCTGTATGTACCGTGGCTGGCGACGGAGTGGACAGTTGTCGAATGAACGCATTCGTCTGTGCTTCGGCAGCGTTTGCCTGACTGGTCTTTCTCCAGGTCTTCATCACCTGTCCAAACGCCGCCGAAGCCGCTCCGATTATCTCAGGGATGAACTGCTGCCAGGTGGTCGCTTGACACTCTTTCGCCTTCTCCATATCGCAGCGCAGTTGCTTCAACTCGCACTGCGCTTCCTCGTACTGACGCCGGTTTTCGGCCTGGACGCGCTGATGCTCCACCTCCCGCGCCTCCTTTTCCGCCTGAAGTTTACGTCGGCCTTCCTCATTCTCTTTGGCCATGTTAGCCATGCGGTCGTTAATGTCGTCCATGGCCGCCATATGCGATGCATCCTTCTCCAGCATACTTTGCTTCAAGTCAATTACCGCGGCGTCTTTCTTACGCAGCTCCGCTTGGTGTTTCTCTTCATCCCGTAGACGGGCTTGATGGTTACCGGTTATCAGACTGAATTCTTCCTCAAGCATGAGGTCAAGCTTCTGGACAAAGGTCCGCGAACGTTCTGTCTGTTTGTTAAGAACAACGGCCTCGGGAATCAAGCGACATTCAGCCTTGAAATGGGTATGGTGACGTTTCAAGTCATCCAGGGAAATCAGTTGATCAATCTGCACAGCCTACAAAAATAAGCGCTGTTTTGGAGGCAGGAAACAAATAGCGCCTGTTACTCACGACAAAACCCACCGATACCGTAACCTATGTGTTCAAGTTCAAGCTCACATTTTAAATGGCTGCGCATATCGGCAAACAGTTATGCGCAGTTATGCAAGTGCAGTACACTGAAATGTAAATAAGTAAACACCGGCGCTTATCCGCGTTCGAAGTTCTAACTGTCTTATCTTCGATGTTTACAGTAGGTTCTTATCCTGTAACTGTACATGTTGATCAGTTACCTGGTACATGTGTTTACGGTAATGGGCAAAAGCCGTCTCCATCGCAACTTGGAACTCCAATCGCACCATTGCCTGCAACACATACATTATTTGCGCATGCAGCTTTTTAGTTTCAGTTTTTAGCAGGTGTTCGACTTCAACGACTGGCGGGCTTACATCCAACATGCTTTCCGCTCGGGGAATTTTTCCATCTTCAAATAGTGAGGCGATGTGCTGTTTATAGTAAAATATAGTAAATGGCAGTAAAGAGTAATCGTATAAAAAGCGGCATACCATAAGAAAGTCGGCATAACCAGCACACTGATACTCGATGCGCCGATGCTCGAACACCGTTAACATACGGCCAAACACCTCATCCAGGAAGACGGCGACATAATGCTTGAACTTTGGCAGAATTGCTGCGAAAATGGCATAGTTCTGCTTATTTTTTATTTACAAGTTAGCGCTTTTTAATATTTACTCAGATTAACCCCCGCGGATAGTAAATTGTTCCTTAATTTCGTGTAAATAGAGTGCAGATTACATATTAGAGCTTAAAGCTTTTTTATTCCTTCTTTGTTTTTGTATAGTAGGGCTTGATTACTTTGTTCGTAGATGCCAGAGTAAGATAGCACCAAGTCCGGTGGTGCACCAAGTGCACCACCGCAGAAACTTGGTGTGGTAACTTTTCAATGAGCGTTACATAATATATTCTGGTAGGACTTACACTCCGATGTCAACCGAAACGATTTTTCATCCGGTTCGCTGGCAATCCGTGGCATCCAGAAACCACGCAGATTCCTGAAAGCCTGCTGGATTTCTCGGATTGTATCTTTGTTGCGCATCTCCGGGTCCTCGATTTGAACCTACAAATCACATGTTATATTGTCTGTTTTATACATTTTGTTTTTCTATAGCAGTTATTAAATTTTGACCTTTTTCTTTTCGGTACTAATAGCAGTATTTTACGGTACTAAAACAGGCACATTCTGTAAGATTTACTTGAAGGTTTTTCAGTGCCATGAACTGCCGTAGCGCGGCGTCATATTACACGGTTCAAACATATCGGCATTGCTACATTATTACCTTACCAATTGTACCTGTACATTGTGTTGGTACATCGCAGTCGTTGTAGTTACGTTACCCCCGTCGTTACTAACTGGTCTACTAGGAAAAGTACTAACGGGCCGTTAGTACTACTCAAAGTACTAATAAGTATAGAAATGCAATTACAACCCCCTGTTATCGCTGAATACTTTTGGTACGAGTATCCTTAGTACCGACCATTTGTCGTCCGTCTCGCCAGCCATGTTCCTCGTTGCCCGTCAAAGCGTCTCTCGTGAGAATAATCAAATCCTGAAAGACTTTTTCCTGGCCTGTAAATGCAGTGTGTTGCCTGTTTGTTAATGCAATACTGAATAAGATGCCTTGACGGACCCGAGTAAAACTGGCTGCGAATCTGTGAAGCCAGTCGCGAAAACTGTGCCAGGGTATCCAGATTTTCCCGTCCGATATTCCGCATAACATTGTAAATCTGGAAAATAGCAAATTTATTGCAGCATTTTTTGCTAACTTATTACTAAAATCGTTTGCTAGTTGCGACGTACAGTGACCGATGTGATCATACTGGTCAGCAGAAACAGTGCCGAATCGAGCGAGTCCTTGTTCATGGTATCATATAGTCCTTGCGTGTCCAGCAGAAACACTGCACAATTTCCGTTGGTACTATTATGAATGATGTACGGATCGCTGGTAATCCAGATGCCCTGCGTACAACCCTTCACATCCGGTGATGTCTCGAAGATATCCACTTGACCCGCTTTCTGGTACAGATAATCTTCGATACGGACGTTGCTTCCTTTCTCGCACTGCACACAAACAAATATGCGGTTGTGGTTAATTTTAAGTTTTTCTGTCCACCACAATTTATGCTGAAAAAATTAATCTGATATGCTGGATATTATTACTGGCAGTATGGTACCGTTTTAGCTATTCTTTTGGTTGCACCAGCAAGTGCTGCTTCTAGCTTTTGCTGACCAAATATTCCGATTGCATAAAAATATCGCACTGAAAAACGTCGAACAGTTTTATAACATACTCTGATGTTAAGTGTCGGTTTTTTTGCAGTTGTTGCAGCATTGTAAGCTACCCAGGTATCTACTTCCTTGGTGCGGTAATTCAGTTATAAGCACTCACAAGTCAATTTTAATAACGGTAACAGAATGCACAAATTTTTAAAACAGAATATTGGATCTCTCCGAAACATATTATTTAGATATGTAACAACCCTCGCCGACGTAAGCCACCATTCGCCATATCTGTACGGTGCAAACCACGAACCACAAGGTCACGAATTTAATAATTAAGATATCAGCTGCGACCAGTGAAAAGGAGAAAAGATATTAAATCATCAGAAAAAAAAATTTTACGGCACTAAGCGGTAAATTAGAGACAACTAGTCCCTAACTGTGGCAAATTTGCCACAGTTAGGGACTTTAAAGTAACCGAAAACCGTAAAAGTAAAAGTGAAGTAACCGTTCGTAACCGTAACCTTAACCGTAACCGTAACCGTAACCGTAACCGTAACCGTAACCGTAACCGTAACCGTAACCGTAATCGTAATCGTAATCGTAATCGTAACCGTAACCGTTCGTAACCGTTCGTAAGTAACCGGTTACTTTAAAGTAACCGAAAGTTATTCAGACTCTTACTAAAATAAGTGGAAAATAGCCTCAGCCGTTTTGTTTCCATCGAAACTGCCAAAGCAGTCCAACTAGATCATAAATTATGCTACTGCGTTGGATATTTCAGATAAAAACTTTTTTCTAAGCATACTATGGTAGTATATCTACCACCTATTTACGAAAAAACAAGAATTTTCAAAATTTGGCGGCGGCCATGTAAAGGTTGCTTGACTATGTGCACGGATATTCAACAGTAAAAAAACTGGCGTCATGTTCAAGTCTACCGCGTCCGATGTTTAGTCCTGTACAGTCATTTACCTCCAGCAAATATCGATGCATGATATTCAGCATTGTTGACTTTCCCTCGCGATATTTTCCCACAACGCCGACCAGGCAGATTGGTAAGTCCTTAATGTCGTCCTGCTGGAGACGCTGAATGAAATCCTTCATCTGATGGAGGTAAAGGTCGTCATTCCTTTTTACAGCTAAAGCCCACACCCGTCTAGCCATTCTTTACGGATTAGCGTCGTAATTAAGATTCTCGCCACAAGCAAATCACAATATTTTCTGCCAAACTTTTGGCACCTCTACCGGCATTTATACCGTACTGGTTGATCTTCGAATGATCGATCCCCTTATGCTACAAGGTTTGCAAATGGTTGTACAGCAGTTATTGTGATACAATTTAAGGCTGCACCCTTTTCGCTGCCTTATCGGTTGGACTATAGCATGACTGATGACAGTTCTGCTTCAATATAATACTTCATGTTTTTCAAGTCGTATGACATTAAATCATCGTGCTAATCTACAAACTCCTGGTGAATTGAGGGATGGGTGTTCAATTTCAAAGATAATCCCGCGCTTTTATCTGGTAATATATTCACGGCGATAATAGGCATTATTAGTCATCGTTATTATTGTTCTAAAGGTTAAATAATAAGGTTATCGCTTATGCATATATCAAAACAACCGGAACGTCCTGCCAAGATGACCCGGCTCAATTTTATCGTCAGTAAGATGCCATCTCGCTCTACAGAAAGTTATGCTTCTTCAGAGGTAGCAAGATTAGTAACTTTGGCGTATGACCTTGGAGTCACAGGGCTCGGGGCCTGTGTGACACTCTGAATTAACAGTAACATAGAGATGGTTTGAATTGCTTATAACACTTCTTTACATCATATAACGTTTCTTCAACCATTCTCCAGCAAAGATGTCTGAGCAATTAATTCACGTAGCCGTGCAAAATGGTCAGGGTAAGCTACAGCTAAAAGACACTGCGCAACTGCTTAATGAACTACGCCATCCGGAACTGCAAAATGTGAGGGTCAGCACAGTGGGGATTGTGGGCAAATACCGCGATGGAAAATCTACTTTGCTTAATGTGATGCATCGCTTCCTGCTGCAGGTAAGGTTATGGTATTGGTGAATGCCTCCGCGGCTGCAGATTTACCGAAAAATTAATATTATTATGGTTCAGCTCGGAAGTTTCGCAATTTTTGACCTTCCATTATTTTTCGCAAAACATTTTCCCATTTCTCCCTTAGTGATATCCACATAATATTAACAGATGCATTTTTAACTGAGCATGCAGTTGTTCAATCAAGTCCATGATTACGAGTATTTACTTATGGGTGTCTTGAACTGGGCTGTAAACACAAATAGTATTCGATTGCAGCTTGTTGCCGGTGTATTGGCTCCTTCAGTCTCCACGTACCTGTACGAAAGTGAAGAACATGCAAACCGCTTTATCACGTCCAACAAGGTCAAAGGCTGCACGCAGGGTATCTGGATAACCAAAAAACCCTATCTGGTGCAAGGTCACGACGGGATAAAGCATGCCATATTTCTCCTGGATACACAAGGTCTTTTCGATACACAAGCCGATCCACAGATGGATTCGTCGCTGTTCCTCCTTACCAGCATGCTTAGCTCCGTAACGGTTAGTCAAACTCGGCAATGGCCTTTAGAGCTTGGTTGATTGTCCGGAATGCGCATCAATTCGAATTTTACTGTTGATTTATTTTGCCAATCGATTTGTCAATAGGCTGTCCACACTCCACATATCGAAGCATTGAAAAGTAAATGATGAAAATGATTTCGAATTTAAATATTGAGGAAAGCGCAGCCAGATGTTCTAATGTATATAAAACGTCAAGTCGCGTATTCAGTTTCCCAGAATAGCATTAAACGTTTTTCTCTACCGACCGCTAGATTTGTGACTGGCATAATTATTTGGCAATTACTTTTTTTAATGTTTCATGGATAGACTGACTCAAATAATAGTTATGTATAAACGCGACATTTTCAAAGACTGCATTCAATAGACTGTCGCAGACTTTGTTTTACCACACACAGCACGCACAGAACAACGTAAGAACCGGAAGTCAGCTTTATCGTCCCCTGCGCCTGACTGTCGCCATTTTATTTACTTGCGACTGTTGTTTCTGCCGGCACGGTGCAGGCCCGTAGACCCGGCAGTCTATCACCCGTGCTGATAAGCAGAAGCAGCAGTAAACACAATGTGACGTTGTTTACTACAGGTATTCAATGTGATGCGGAACTTTGGACGCGACCAGATTGACTTATTAACGCAATTCTCCAGGCTGGGATCGAAATTGCAGAGTAATCTATGCACAGGTTATTGAACAGTTTATTAACATTTGCTCCTTACAGGCTTACACCAGGCGTACAAGTGCTTCTCTGCTGCAGGCAGTGAAAAGGTATTTCAAGATTTAATCATACTTATGCGCGATACGCTGCGGGGAGATTTCGTCCATGGATGGAATGATGGTGATGCGTACTTAAAAGTGAGTGAAAATTCGATTTGAGTTTAACGCGCGTGCACGTATTTCTCGTTTTTACTGAAGCAGCGCTTACACTGCCAGCTAAAGGCGTCTCACAATAATATTTCGACTGTGATATCAGTTTATCAAATCACACCCACATAAAAAATGGGCAGTTACTTGCTCTAGACTGGACCGGTGGCATTTTGCTCTTTTAGTGCGTTGTCCCGATTCGTTTACATATTAGAAATACAGCGGATTTTACAGTGATTGTATTGCAGTGTAACCTGAAGTCACCAAAGCACACCGACGCCCACGGCGATGTCATCAACGTTTATTCGTCGGTGCGAGCCTTTCTTCTGCCAATTATCTCGGATTCGGCTGAAAGTGAAGGGTTCCGTCTCTCGGAAAGCGGTACCGATTAACTTTAAATAAAAAATCGCAATGTATGCGCCTTATTAATCCGGTTTTTTATTGATTAGCGGTTAAGACCGATTTCAAAAATACTGTGCCTTCGCTCTTGGATACGATTTTTCTGAAATGGCGGCGCCGATTTCAGTATAAGCGACGTGAACTGACATGCTCCGAACTGGCTGACCACCTTGAAGTACGCCGAGCAAAAGCGCTACACTGTGCCCTTAATATATTATAATGTGCATTTTTAATTTCTTCATCTTGAGGTGAATATACCGAAGGGCCCCTTGATTTATTAATGCAGATAAAGTCAACTACAGTGTATGTACCAGGGCATTTACATTTATCATTAAAGATTAAAGGTCATCCCGGCCGCACCATACAATACTCGTAGTTATCCGATGAATAATTATACAATAAAATAAAAGCTGCAACCATTTTTTTTTTGTTAAGACAACATTTTACTGTACGGTGAAAGATAATAATTACGTTCAGCTTTTAGGAAAAGGTGAAGTGTATATGAATCATTACTTTGTTTATTATTTTACAGCATGTTTTCGGCTTGTTCAGAAGCGGTAGTGTACCGCAGGCAAAAGGTATTCTGCAGGTACATCCAGTTTAATTTAAGCAGCACAATTTAGTATTATAGCCATTTCAGCACTTAATTGTGTACAGCGCTACTTCTGATGTTCAGAAGGACTAATTAATTGTTTGCGACGATAAATTAGGTAATGGAGCAATACGAAGTCGAGAAGGCCGAAAGGGAGGCGCACAAACATTATAGTGAAAAAATTCGTTCGGTGAGTTTAATTTGTCTAACGGAACTGTTAAACCGGTATCATTCTATTTTACAGCCAAACCCTGCAAGCGACACGTGTAAATATTATGACTAATAATAAGTTTCGTATCTGCATGGCAATATGTTCGTTCGTTCACCTGCAGGACTGCAGATAACATGTGATACATATTATACGCGTAATCATTGATAAACATAGCTGCAAAAATGCACCGCTTTCTTCGCAGCGCTTTTAGACCGAAGCGAAACCAGATTCTGCGGTACTACTCCGTGCTAAATTTGTACGTGCAACAGCTTGTCTCGGTGCTTAGATCACTCAACCTATGGATTTATTTGCCTAGATATTAACGCTATTTACCGTTAGATAATAAAGGTACTTTAGCACAAAATAAATAAGGACATTTTCTTACTATGTATGGACGCGTTAGGTACTCACCCTGGTCAGGTGCAGTGTGTGCTAATTAGAAGCGTCCGCATTGAGCCATACTGGTACAATTTTTTTGGCGCTGCGATACATCCGCTTCAATTTTATGAGTACAACAGTGTTCGAAAACATCGACTAAAATTTAAATCAAGGGACAAACTGTTGGCATAACGTAGAACCGCAAAACGTTGAGACTTCCTCAAATCGTTTTTGAAGTTTCTGCAGCCAGACTGAGCCAGTAAGTCGTTCGTGCTGGATTCGCCTGCAATTACATCATTGATCCGTTTATCGCCTATAGTGTACTTCAAATCGTTTACTGTACTTACGTAATAGCCCGGCTTCTGTCTTGCAGTTAACAGGCGGCAAAATTATTGAAGAACCTTTCCTGCTGGCCATGCACCAGCTGATTAAAGACGAAAGCCAAACCATCTTTATGTCGCAGTTCAGTTCTTTACTGCGCAAGAAACCGCGAACTGCTGCCACCCAAGATCACCTCGCCAAAAACATCGAGGAGGAGTTCCGAATTATTCTTGGTAATCAGCGTGCCCAAGCTGAACAGGAGAAACGGCATCAGGCGGAAGTTAAACAACGCACGGACCAAATCGAGCAACTCCAACAGCAGCAACAGCAAGCGCAGGCGCGCCACGATAAGCACCTCGCTGACCTAAAAGATCGTCTGGAGGCGGCAAAGCATGCCAGTGCACAAGAGCGGCAGAATATGGTGGAGGAGATGCGACGCCGTGAGAGAATGTGGGAGGCTGAGCAGCGGCAGATGCAGCAAGAACAGCGCAAGCTGCACGATACGTTACATGACATGCGTCAACAAATAGAGCACGAGCGGAGGGAGCGTGAGCGGGAAGCGGAACGAAATGAGATGCGACAGCTAGCGCAAGCTGGGGTGCAAGTGCTTGCTTCATTAGTTGGCAGACTCTAATGATGGGAAGACGGCTCAGAAAGGGAAACGGTTGGCCGAAAAACATAATATTTCGTTCTTCGTTACGGAAACAGTACACAATCCATAATCAACAGCTTGTTAAATCAAGATTTTGATCATGTTTATGAGATTAATTTATAAATTTTCTGCCTATGTAATAATTATATTACGATAAAACAATACTTTTTTCTGCGCAATGTGATTATTCTGTGCTAGCACAATAAAACTTCCACATCAGCTTAACAGTATGCGGGACCGTAGTGCGAGCGGGTTAAATACAGTTCCCGAAAATCTGGCCTTCAGAAAAAATTATTCCTGACAAATGAATTCCCATTATTTTATTTTATAACCAGTGAGTCAGTGATCACAGGAGAAACTTGGTGGATGATACTTACGCTTATAGTTACCGCCTTACCGACTGCAGCCTATCGCTATCACTATTTTATGGACGATGGTGATTTTACAAACTTTCAAAGATGGTAATATTATGGTGATGTCAGAAACTTTTATCCGATGGTACTTTAACATAACAAAGTTTAAAAATAACTTCTAGCATTGTAGCGAGTGCAAAAAAATTGATAGGTGAACGATGTGCTCTGAGAAAAATTTTATCTAATTGTGGTCTGAGAAAAATGTCTGAGAAAAATGTCAACCCAGTTTGCACCTTTGCAAACTTCACAGATTGTTAAATCGGCATAATGAGCGCTCCTATCGGCACGTGTAAGGACAATGCCTGCACTTTGGCAGTAGTAAATTATGAATCTACTTCTATTATGTCATTCCAAACGCGCGGCAGAGCGCTATTAGTCTGTTATATCGATCGACCAAGAATGTTTGGCGCCTCAAAGGGCGTAGCGTAACTCTTTTCTGGGTCGTAAGATCTGAATAATATTGGGCTGTATTCTCAGCGACATCGGAGCTCGCTCGGTGCAAAATCGTCTGTTTGTTTACAGTACGCGCACGATGCTTGCATTTTGTGAGGCTTTCTACTTTCATGTCCGAATACTACGAGTTTAGCACACTGTTTTAGTAGACACTGTATTAAACACAACAATTTTTATGCACAACCTTAGTGAAGATTTAATTGATACAGATTTAAAAAAATTACTGAGGCGGCCATATATTGACCAAAGCGGTATACGCTCGCTAATCAATTTTTTCCCTATAGATTTCAATTTCTTATTAAGAACAATTAAATAGGGATGTGCATTCTCCGTTGCTGGACTGACTGTTGCACGAATAATGATCGACTGTCGACAATAATGCAGCAACTATTAGCAAGTTAGCAACAAACATTATGTGCGCAATGCCCGTGCGGATAAAAACTGTCTTTATCAGAATGATAAAAACACACTTGCAACCCACCTTATTACTAACCGCGTCACGTTCTGAGACAGGAAAGTTCTAATAAACAATGGATTATTTGTCGGTAACTTGAATGTTTCCCGTGTTTTTATGCTGCCTAACCGTTTGAGTGGATTTTTGAAAAATTCTGATACATATTGTCTACACACATGTACCTGTACATAATACCTACATATCGTTGGCGTTTAACACTACAGACAGTTATCAAACACTTCAAGCCGAAGCATGCAGCCCTCACGAGTGTCCGTGACATTATGAGTGTCTCCGGGTGCTGACGCGGTAGATTCCTGCCGCGGCCGTCCTTCTACCGCGTGGAAGAACAGCAATGTTTTTCCATGAAATCATTACTAAAGACAACAGGACCCACTGAATGACTGTTACCGGAAAAATGCCTGCCTCGTCAGAATAATACAGCGATGTCACCGCCCAAGTATTCCTGCCTTTCCGGGTCCATTGCGGCACCTGCTACTTGGGGAAATATTTGGGTTTTCTATAAAACACAGCGTACCACTTCAGCATTCACTCGCTCAATAATTTCAATCTCAGCTGTTAACGTGAAATTTTTGTTTCTTATTTCTGTTGCATTATTTGTTGCGTCTGTATTAGCTGTTACGATTAATTATTTATACGGGCTTAATTATCTTGAAAATGAATTTTTGCATACAAGCCTTCATCGCTTTGATTTTTGCCATTGCCGGTAAGCCGCCATTCTGCAGCTAAATTTAATTTGAATAATTTATTACGTCTGCCATGTACAATATAAAACTGAATAATTAATTAAAAACCAAAATACATAAGAAAATAATTTAAATATTGGCTTAATACTTATTTATAGACGATATTCGTAGAATTTAAGTGTAACTATAAGCGTACATACATAGAGTTTGTGTCGCATTGCCAACAATTAACCGATAAATATATGCCTAATTAAATATCGTTTGGTGTGTCGAATTTCTGAACGAAATTTTCTGTCCATTTGTCTAACTTGCAAATTTTTTTAATATGGCAGTTAGCGGGCAGCGAGGGTGGTCCAACCAGGGAATGTCCGCACAGGGAAACTGGAATCGACAGGGAACAAATACAAGGCAATTTACCGGATCCCAGGATAACTGGAGCCTGGGAAGTGGGGGCCAGGGAAACAACGGTGGACAGGCCAATGGAAACGGGGCACCAGGAAATGGTGGACAAAATAACTGGACCCAGGGAAATCCGGGGCAGGGAAATGGCGGACAAGGAAACTTTGGACAGGGAAATACAGCGGAAGCCACGGGTGGGCCGGTGCGCTGCCATTGCACGAAAATCTACATGCCGGTGTGCGGTGTGAACGGTGTTACATACGGCAACGAGTGTATGGCCAAGTGCTCAGGTAGAGTACCGCAACGTAGCATACCGTATGTTTTACACAGCGTGACGTCCAAGGATGGGCGTTCTTTTAGCTTTAATACAGTGAATGCACTACTAAGGTAGAGAACTTGCAATGTAAACTATTATAATGCAGGTTCTCCTGAATGATTATTTTCGTTTGTTTTGCAGACGCCGAGGTAGCACGTCGAGGACGATGCGATGGTACCGGTCCTATACTTATACCCCGCCGTAATTAGCCCCTTGCGTAATAAACTGATAGAGCAATATGTCTATTCCCGGATGCGAAGAAACATTTGGAAATGTATTTAAAAAAATCCCAAGTGAACTGTTTTATACAGGATGATAGTGGTCGTTGGGCCTTGATTGGCGCTACGGTTGTTGTAAAATTGTGCTGGCACATTTTTTTATTAAACGATAATCTGAGCTGCACGATTTAGGCGCGTGGTTATGATAATTATGGTAAAGCCTGAACGAAACCTTTTATGGATGCTTTGCGGAGCTAAATTTACAACAAACAGAGAAACTTTTAGACGATTCAGTTGAAAGTCTTAACAACCGGCAGACTCCTTCACTATATTCATTAAGCTTTCCCGCATGTGTTGGAACTTGGAAGGATACTTCAAAAATAATTTTATTCACATGTCTGATGGAAAATTAACTGTATCATGCGAAGCCTACTGCTTTATGCTTGCACACAAATTTTAGGCATACGTATAATACGAGTACTTTTATTGTAGTACGAGAACAAGTGTGCCGAAATCACGTGCAGCCGGCATAATACAGAGTCTGTACACGACACATTGTAAATCGCGTCGAGCGCAGCGGTTTAGCGGTTCATACAGTGAAGGAACCGCCAGCCGCATGCACACTTTCCGTGGTAAAATACGGCACCGTCGCAAAACGTTTTGTGACGCCCGAGCGGTGATATTTACGTAATCTGCTATAGGCTACTGTACAATAAAGTAATAGCTATCATAGTATTTCCAGAAAATATTTTGTGACCCTTTTATACACCTGTTTGCGCCTCGGAAATGAATGCCTTCATTCTGCAGGTTTCTCCGCCGATAATAGCAAAGGACACTGACAGTAAGAATGTTTGGGCAAACGGAGCTGAGTAGAATTTGTTCGGAGTGGCAGGGAGTCAGGAGCAGTATGAATTGTGATTTATGACGACAGGATTTCGAGTATTAAAAGAATAACACTGGCGAGTACAGATGCACGTGCGTAACTGGAAACTTTAATTACATCTGTTCGGCCATTTTTGTATCACTGCTTTTATTTTGAAAGCAAAAATATATAACTGCATTAAATGGTAATATGATGCGTAAACATCACTTTGACCGAGAATGATAAACATCGTACGCACTACTACTACGCACTAAGTAAATCGTTGTAAATTTCTGAACGACGCAGTCTTCATAAAGGACCCCGTTGAAATATTGTTTTCTTCGATCACACGCAATATTGTTTTCTTCGATAATGAAAAATGTGCCTTTTAATGAGGTAATAGTTCTCGATGAATTGTCGAACGTGAAAAATTTATTTAATGCCAAATGTCATAACTCATAACCGCACAAAATATCTGGCACGTGGGACTCTACCGGTTTATGGTGTACTTAAACGGACTTAAATTGGGCATAATTATTACTCGGAGGTCTACTCTATTACTTTAATATTTTAATTTCCTGACCCGAGGCGCTGGCATTTGACGGACCCAGTGAATCTCATCGCGTTTAAGTACCCAAGCCACCAAATTAGGAATTTAATTCGTCGCTGCTACCAAACGCTTCTTAAAACCGTTTCCCTGTTCCTCAAGTTCACCACTGGATTAGTTACTTAAGTTGAAGTTAGGTACTAATCCAGTGTTTGTCTGGCTGCTTGGCATTAATGGCAAAATATTTTGAAATGTATCACGTTACTGCTGCCCCATCTCCCGTAATTTTTTACGAGTTCACATACTCAGCAAAAATGCGGCTTAATTCTTAATTAATGTGCTTTCTGCATCAGGTAGTTTGTTAATCGTATCTTATCTTTATCTCGAACGAGAACAATGAATTCGTCGGTTAATATCAGCGGGATCTTCAACACGACGCCGCATTTTGCACTGCCATGGTTGGATAAGAAATCGCGCAGAGTGCGGTGTGTGAAGCTAGATAATGAGCGATTAGTAAACCGCATCCCGAGCGCAGGCGCCAGTTGGAAAATATCAGACCGGCTAAAAGCGCTTTACCAATAGCACCGCTGTAGCATAGGGTAAGGTATGTCGACGCCCAAGCGGTAATGGATCGAGCGGACAGCAAAATGTCCATTTACCGCTGTCCAAATGGACCAACGATTCTGCGGACCGATCATGACACTACAGCTGACCCTGCGGTACGCGGCCAACTGGATCGACACGTACATCGCCGTCAGTCGTGTCGTGGCGCTGTGTTTTCCGTACCATTATCGCCGGTTTTCCGCGCGGAATTGGGAGATGTTCGTTCTAACGGTGTTATGGATCGGAGCGGTATGTTTGGCTGTTTTAGGCTGGTGGGATTTAGGCGTTAGGTATCCGCTAATACCGACGGGAAGTTGTACTATCGCACAAAAAGATGTGTTTGGGTTGATGACCTTTGTAGTCGGGTACTATTTACCATTAGCGGTAGCGGCTGGACGTTATGGCATTATCTATTTAAGACTAATAATTCGTCGAAGAAAGAAAATCACAGCCGTGGAAAATCTGCCGCAAGATGTGGATTCAACGATGGAAAATCGGCGTGTGGTGAAAGCCAACATGGTGTTTGCGTCGTTTCTGTGGAATGTGGTCGGGTATTTGATATTTCCGGTAACCTTGGCGGTTGCACCGGATACACAGATGCGTCGTCCACTGGTGGCGTTGTGGTTGGGTTCGGTGCAGATGTTTGGTTACGTCACCAACCCGGTGAGCCATATGTTTTTATTATACCAAACTCACCAGGGCACATTTTCCGGGTCTGAATTCAAAATATTCTGATATTTTGTAGACAGGTAGAATAATACCCAAGTATAATTAAAAAAATAATTTTATCTGCAGAGGCTCAAATGGCGTGGCCAAACAATATTAAATGAACATACAGCACTACGTACCGTACTGTTGCAATGTATTGGTGCAGTACTTAGTACTCTTCAGCCTATATTTTTTGTTGATTAAATTTTACCGTATTGCACGAGCAAATTATTGGATCCAGTTGTCAAGTCCTGATGTTTAACCCATATACGCATGCGGTGGCCGTTTCACCGCTGATGCGCATTTTAAATTTCCAAAATCTGCTATCGGTTATTAATTTGAAAGCACATTAATACAGCCTGTTATGCCGGCACTTCTTGTCTACGGTTTAATTAATACTTTATAAAATTCCTGACAAATATTAATTTGGCTGGGATGACATGGGGGGGGGGCGTACTGAAAGGGTCCACAACTAGTGCGGCGCTCGCAAAATCAAAACGAAGCTATCACAATGAGACTGCGCAGCACCAGTGCTCTAAATAGCAGTAAACAGTATATAAACTACGTTGACATTTAATTGATGGTTAGCCACGCCCTTTGAGCCTTTGCAGATGAAATTAATTTTTTAATTGAACTAGGGTAGTAGTATTATAACTTTTTGCAAATTATCAGAATTTTTTGAATTTAGACCCGAAAAATGTGCCCTGGTCAGGCATATTTGGACCTCTACAGAGTACTGGTGGTAGTTAATTTTGTTTTTTAGTTTGTAATAGCCTTCCGTGAAGCTAGGACTGGTGACCTTTTACATACGTGTTCGAAAGAAAATTCAGTAATTATCAGACACAATTTTTTTAGGTGATGTTCTTCGCCATGAGCATCGAATACCGGGCGGAACTGACGCGTCTGTGCCGTCGAGTCTGGAAAGGTATACGGGGAGGTTCACGCGAGCCAACAGGCACCGGACAGCGAACGCTGCGCTCCGAAAGCATTTCCCTCTCCGCAAACACTGCGGGAAATAAATTAGCGCCGTTGTGGTCAGCTAGTACTGACCGTGGTAGTAAGAATTGTTGAAGATCGAACTGCTTACGGAACTGTAGAATACTGAATATCTTGTTTGCATATTCCCTGTTTCAATCAATGTTTTTACCCAGAGAATGCAGACCGTGCGGCCACCGCATCCTGCTTACTAGTGTATTTATAAAAGCGCACCAAAAGCTGGTACCGAATTCGGGCCATACATGGGGATATTCGCTTTCACGGGCCTGCCCGTTTCTCAACGTTAAAATTAAAGGCATACTACTGTGAGCTCGGTCAAACGATTTGCATACATTTGGACGAAACGGTTTTAAAAAATCAACATCTACATAGTTGGAAAGCAATGGCTGAAACACAGTCCCAAAATGCGTCAATATTCATCGCTAACAAATGATCCGAAAATCTCACTAGAATCCTTCTAATTTGAATTTCTTCAAATCTCGCATATTTTATTTCAAGGCTGACTGTTTTCCAAATTAAAAACCGTTGATAATCTTCCGAGCGGTTTTTGTAATCCAAGCCAACTTAAATGTAAAATTTTGTGCGAAGGTATTTTTCGGCAATACGGAAAAATATTATTGGAAATTGGATATTTGAGGTAACTGAAAAACCGTCGATACTAAAAAACCTTCCCCTACTGGATCTATTAACAGAAACACTTGGCAGTATGGACAATCCGTTGGTAGGCTTTACTACAGGAAATTACAACAGTCAGTAATTTCGGTTGCGACTAACATCCCGACTGGTGAATTTCATGGAAGCGAGAGAAGCAAAACTGTAAATGCCTATTACGTTATTTTCGTAACTTTCGAAGGGTGAAAATTCTTGAATTTATTAACTCGTGCTTGGCAATGATAAGTCCGATCTTACAAAAATTACAAAAAAGGATGGCTGAAAACTGACAACTTTTTAAGTGTAGTAGCAATTATAAGAATTCAAATGTCCAAAATTGAAAATGTCTGATGAGGCAAATTTGCAAAAACGAACATTCAGTGATTCAAACTTAAAACCAGATCTTCCCTGGAGAATTTATATTCTTTAGATTTTTGAAATTTTTATACATGCACGACTTTCTGTCTCAAAACAAACTCCCACTACTTGACCCCCTTTTCTTGTGCAAGACAATCTGGTGGAATCGCTATCAAACAAATATCGCACTGACGTTGCATTATCACACCGCAGCGCAGCAGCATGCGTGAAATACGAAACTCCAAGTACGTCTGGCGGACATTTCCATTTTGCTTATTGTTTGTGACGGAAGTACTTAGCTTAGCAACATGGTAACATGACCAGTAAAGGGCAGATTCTCCGAAAGCTGCTTGCATCATCCGGTGCAAAAAGGTTATTAATAACCGGTTCCGCCAGTTTTATTCTTTTATACAATATAATTTTTTCGTTTTTAAATCCGGACTGAGTAGGTTCGCCTG